AATGGCGTCGTTCCGTATAGCATTTCGTGAAGGACGATCCCTAGTGACCACCAATCCACGGCGAAATCGTGACCTTTACCTGATACGATTTCTGGCGCCACGTACTCCTCTGTTCCAACGAACGAGTTTGACTTCTCTACCGAGTCTGAGTCGGTACGATCCGTGTTTACGCTTGCTTGAGATGCCGCGTCGTCCGGAGCAATTCCAGAATTACAGCACCTAACAAACGGAAATAACCGCTTTTTCTTGACTGAGTCAGGCGGACTTTTATAGACCGAGTTGGGAGGCATTGTTTTTTCAGGCGATCTTGGAGAAAGTTTCGTGGAAAGATCGAAATCTACAAGCATGATATGGCCATTTTCTTGAATCATAATATTTTCAGGCTTCAAATCTCGACAAACAATGCCTAAATTATGAAGATACTCCAGAGCCAGAACCAATTCCGCTGCATAAAATCTGTAAAAATATATATATTAAAATTCAATCCAAGAAATAGAGAAAATATAGCATTAGCTGTAATAACTTTTGTTTCCTTTTTACCTTATCATATCGTCGGAGAACATTTTCTCAGTCTGTTTCTTCCTCAAAGAGTGAAGATTGCCACCGGGACAATAATCAATGGCGTAACCGACGACTTTATCGGTAGCCAAAACTCCTCGCAACCTCGGTAAAAGCGGGTGGTTAAAAGTTCCCAACACTTCCTGTTCAAAACTAACTCTTCTATACTCGTTTCCGTTACTATTCTTCACAGCTTTAGCATTCTTCTTCTCGATAGAATCTCGAGATATTACTTTCAAAGCTAACATATCATCCTTCACTTTATCTCTGGCAAGGAAAACCACTCCTTTGGCTCCTCGTCCGAGAGCCGTGACGATTTCCAGGCGATCTAAATCAAAGGTAGGGATTGAATGCTGTGGAGTCCGATCGAGTTGTTTTTGATCGTCGATCATGGCGGAGGCTGGTGGATCACTGTGAGAAATTCGAATGCCTTCTATTTGTTTGTTTCCTGGGGTTTGGGGTAGGCATTAGTTGGTGGCTACAATTTATATGGAAGGAATGGTTTCAATTTATTTTTTTAATTTTTAATTAAATAAAATTTCTTGCTGAGGAAGTTTTCAAAATTCAAAGGAGAGTGAGTTTCTGCGAGACTGGATTTCGCCACGTAAGCAATTTCGGCGGTAAATACGTGACGTGGTGTTTTTATTTATTTTTCAAAAATAGCATTAAGTTAATACTGTACAAATAATAGAAAATTAGAGGCGGGTGATTTAAATATTGGTGGTGGTGCTTCTAGAAGACGTGGCATCTTAGGCAATATGAATAGGGGTTAAACCATTAATGAGTCCCTAAACTTGACAACATTTTCTAATTTGGTCCTTCAATTTTTTTCTTCACATCAGTCCGTGAACTTCGATTCACAATCTCGAGTACTATATCATCAAAAGAATCAAAATGGGCAATTATCAAGATGAGAAATTAAACTATAATTAGGGAGAGAAAGTTATTCTCTCCCATAATGTAGTTACGGTGTTGCCTCGAAATTCTGTCTTGGTCATAAAGTTTCCTTTATTACTCAGTGGAACTACTTTTTTATAATTTACCCATTTTGAAAATTCAGCATGCAACACGCCTAGAGGTAGTAAATTTGACTCGTAATTGATTATTCGAATCGAAATCCGATATAAATCCTAACAATATAATTCGAAATTAATTCGAAATCTGAAATAACCGGAAATGAACTGAAATTGACCTTAATTTTAGTTGGAGCAAAAACAAGCTGAACCAAAAGTAATCCAAATTTAATTTATCTATATCCGATCCAACCCGAAATTTGACCCGATTTGAACTTGATAATTAAGTCTAACTGAATGTATAATTTATTTATTTATTTCTTATTATCATTATCTATTTTTAGCATTGATAAATAATAAATATATGTTTTTTTGTTTTATATTATATTACTAGTTAACCACAACTTTTATTAGTAGTTTAAAGATTCAATATAATCTTTTCTCAGATAAAAGATTATCACTATATTTGATTCAATAATAATAAACCGTGATTAGATATATCCTAAACAATAATGAATAAAAAGGAGCTTTGACCTCTCTTAAAGCATAGATTAAAGTACGGTGAAGGAAGGCAGTTTAAGCGAAGAGGCAGGCAGTGGTGGGTAAAAAAGGTTGAGATAATTAAAAACGTTGGTAGAAAAAGTATTACGAAAGCCCAGGAGTTTTCATTTGTATCTAAGCTAAGTATAATTCAAAATAAATGAAAAAAGAAAACCCTAAAGCTAGCGTCAAGGATGACCGTTGTATTCATTTCAGTTGCTCAATTTGACCGACAAACCCTGTTTATTCAATTGCCTTTTATCATTCAGCTTCCACCAAGCACGCTTGCAAGACCTAGTCCAAGCGTAGGTGAATTGCAAGATCTGGGCCATTTACGCGTCTGTGTGGATTGGACAATGCCACAGCCTTAAATTTTGGGCCTTTACAAGGGTTCCTTAGGCTACTTCGAGCCTCATCTGTTATCCGGCATAGAAATGATTACATTATTGAAATAGGTCCTTGATATCACATCAATACACAAAATCACAGCCTTCATTAGCTATCAAACAACCAAATGACAGAATTGATTGCGGGTTTTTACTATTTTAAGCATCCCTAGTACAATAAAAATACTATTCATGGTTAAATTTGCACGTATCTCCTCCTCATTGTGATGTTTGGACATATCCTAATTATCATTGGTTTTGTGGGCTGTCACTGAAAATAACCCATCAGCTAATCTTTCATTAAAGGATGCTCACATGAATGAAAGTATCACAGCTCATTACCAATCTCCTATTGCTTCCTTTTCCCCGCCATGCCAAACGACCGACGTTTTTCAACTTCCTTCGTCTCAAACAATTTGTGTGTCAACTTCATGTCTGGTCCTTTCTCAACTATTTAATGTTTTCATCTTGTCTGCTATTTAGGTATCGATAATGGAGTACGTATGCGGTATTTTATATTAAAGAGAGAAGAATTTATAAAATTTAAAGGTTGAAAATATATTATTTACAAAATATAAAAAATATTTAAAATATACGATAATTTGACATTTTCAAAGAAGATAATTACCCCATACACTCCATCCTCGATCTATCCCTGAAAAGACATGCATTGTCTTGACCCGTCACATATATGGAAAATTGGCTTCGTTTTTATTAAAAGTAATGTTTAGAAAATTAGCATTCAACAAATATTTGTATAATTGAAGGACCGATTAATTAAGTTAATGTTGCTTATTTTATGCCACCTAAGACCAAATCGAATTACAAATTCCTTATTATATTGTTTCGTAACTACAGGATCAAAGCTTAGTTTGATTATCTTCGTTTATAGTTATTTTTTCTTATAAATTATGATAGACTGATGAATGAGGATTAGTTTCAGATTTTGCCTGAATTTATTATTTCATCTAACATTTTCTGGGAAAAAAATACAGTCAAAACACATTCAGATACTTAAATATTATATATTAAAATAATGCAGGAACTTTCATACATTCAATATAAATAAATAAATCCCGTCTAAACGTCTACAAATACAAACAATTTAAATAATAACATAAAAAAGCTTAATAAGAACATTTAGGTCCACAAGAAACATTTTCCAATAAATTTTGTGTCTAATCAAATGAAGATTTGTAATAAATTAATAAAAGCAACCTTAAACAGGCGACTTCAAGCTTCTTTAATACTCATATTTGTGTCGGCGAAAAATATTCTCCAACTCTATGCTAATGTTAATTATAAAGTGGCCGATGAATTTGACTAAAACCAAAAACTTGCATTTATGAGGATATGGGTAGGAAAAGCCAACATTGCCATCCCAATTCACTCGTTTTCTTCCCTTTATTATTTTTAGTAGGTCACTTCAATGGGATCTTTTCAATACACATGATTTTGTTTATTATGATTACGGGGATATTTATGTTCTCCATTTTAAGCTACAAAATATGTATATAACAACTTAATTTTCTATTTTTCTTTTGTTTTTGGAATTTCCTAGAAATTCAAACATTTAGCTATGAATGTTTTCGTATTAATTTTCAAAAATAAAAAATAAAAATAAAAGCACGTGTACCAGTTATATTGCTCAGTTCTATCTTATCCCGTCAACACCAATAATTCAACCTCCAGAGAAGCAACACCTCTGCTCTAACCCGTTTTCTCATTTTAAGGGGGGGGGGGAAATAATAACTTAAGGTTCATTTGTTTCAAATTTACACGATTTATGAATTCCTACAGTTATATTTTTGTTAGTAGAAATGGTATGCACTCACCACACGATCCATGTCTAAGACTACAGGCTATTACAGCTGCAGGCAGACAAAGCATGCGCGTTTCACTTTGCCGAGTTTACGAGCAAGCAGTCGACAGTGGCACATGGTTGGCCCATTTTGCTGGTTTTATATTTGTTTGATTTAGCATACACCCTTAACGACCTCTATGGTACTTCCACCATCACCATGGATCATGAAATGAACTCGAGTCTTTGTTTAATAAAGCGATGGGTATATGTCACCATCGTAAACCCGATTTTAACGGAACTCAGATCTTCAAACACTCAAAGAAGGTTAAGGAGACTACAAGAAGAGGAAAAGGAGGCATTACCTTAAGTTTCCTAGGTATTGTAGGGGCAGTTACTGTTGCATTGAAGACTTTGGGGCGGGACAGGCAGGGAAATAGGAATGGACCACAACACCAGAAATTACCAAACCATTCAATATGGACGCATTCTTCCTGTTCCATATTTAACTCTTTTTAAGGACCGTTCATTCAACTTTTACTTCTCATTTATCAATCATCCACAGCCGCTATAGAAAAATCATAGGGATATGGACTAAACTAAGTCAATGCACAAGATCAATTCTTTCAAAGCATAAATTAAAGGATGAAGTGCAAGTAGAATCTAATGCATGACTGGGATTCGAATATGCAAAGGAAGACAAGCATAAAAAGAGAGACATTATTCTATTACCTGTAAAATCCCAAACAAAGAGAACATCTTATAAACATAAGCTCACGCAGCGTGTTTATTAACAGTGGCTAACCATTATACCTGAGATGAAAACTCTGACGAGGGACAAGGATTTACAAAATTGGATTTGATGATTAGAGGCACCGGTGACAGGGTGTTGGAAACAGAATTTACAAATGATGCACTTGGTGATGTTGCATTGAGTAGTGTCTTCATGCGGTATGAGTAATATTAACGGCCCTTCTCAGTCTCTCGAGAATGCCGTTAGCCTTTCTCTTGGCTCTAGATGTTCCGTCTTGAGCAAGCTTAGATATCGTTCCATAGGTAACCTCTTCTTCCTTTAGCACCTTCCACTTGGTTCGATCGTTAAGACAAACGGAGTGCAGGATTGCAATGCAATTTTCCTTATTCCGTTCACAATTGCTCTCCCTGATAATACGAAGCAAGCAAGGAACAGCTCCAAGCTCTCCCATTTCTTCAATAGCCCTTTGATGAGTCGAAAGCATTGCAAGGATGGCCAACAATTCATCGACATGAACACCATCCATAATCTTTCTCAAAATGACCCTTACTGCACCATCCCTGACTGCTCTTGCCTTATTCTCATGGAAAATGCATAGGTTAAAGATTGCTGAAGCAACATCTTTCATTGCTAACGGATGGCCCTCGACTAAAAGATCAACGAGAGGCTTCGTGACACCAGATTTACCAATTATTGCCTTGTTCGAATCAAGAGCGGATAGAGTGAAAAAGGCTGCAGCTGCATTGCTCCTCGTTTGAATAGTTCCAGATCTCAGCGCTTCCATAAGAATGGGAATGACCATTGGAGTTTCAGCAACAAGCTTCTTATTGTTGTCATGGATCGAAAGGTTCAAGAGTGTCGTGATCACATCTTCCTGGAGATCGGGCTGAACACTGCTCTGAGATTTGCTTCCAGAGAGTGGGGTGAGCAGTTGAGTTATGGCATCAACGGATTCGCCGAAAAGAGCCCGGAATGAAGGCATCTTTTTTGTCAACAACCGAAGCTCCTTTGCTGCTTCCTTCTGTTCAGGAAGCGCAGCAGACAACTTGTCGAGCAAAGAAAAGAAACGGTCGCGTTCCCCTTCGGTAATGCCCTCCTCTCGACCGCACTGCACTAGGCTCGGTAATTCAATCCCCTGGCTCTTACACCACTGGAATATCATCGTCTTGATCAGGTGATTCGGGATGAGGATCGTGTGAGAAAGAACTTGCTGGGTTCGAGGGCAAGTCCTGTTGCCTGAATTCAGCCATTTCTGGATAAAGGGTCTATCATATGTCTGCAAATCCAAATGAGAACAAAACAAGAACCAATTCAACTGGTGAACTTGAATCCATAAACATCAAACTGAAACAATCCTAGCAAGAAGAATCGATCGTAAAAGAATTTTATGCTATTTATACATTTACTAATTTAAGTTTACTTTTCCCAAATCATTCAAGTTTCTTAAACAGAAATCTTTCAAATTTTTGGTCTTTTCAAATCTTCAATTTCAAGTCAAGAAATTCTTATCGAAACCGAAACGCGTGAGAGAAAAAAAAAACCAGAATCTCAAGTTAAAATCATTTTCATGCACCCACATTCTCTTTATCACCAAACAGTAAAACAAATTAACAACCTTCATCAGGAAAACATCAGATTTTCTCATTAAAAAAGGAAGGGAAAAAGAAGAAATCAAACGACCCCAAATCGTATAATAATCTTGATTCATTGCTTAAAGCTATAAAACAAAATCTTTTTCCTTTAAATTCTTCAAGAAACCAATACAAAATTATAATCTCATTACCTGACCAGAAGCTAAAATAACGGGATCTCTCATAAGCTCTTTAGAAATAGGACATTTAAACTGTTCAGGACACGACACCGCTTCATGTAACTTCAACGTCGCCGTCGGTCGTTTATTGAACATAAGTTCTCTCAAAGCACAAAGAGCATCTTTAGCTTGATCAACGGCGTGGATGCTGTAATCATCGTCGTCGACGATAGTCCTAACAAGTCTCTGCAATTCTTTCTTCAATTCCACCGCTCTCGCTCTCGCCGTCGGATCAGAACTCAACACCCCCGTTTTCGCCATCAGATTCCTTCCGACCCCAAACCACCCTATCAAAAAAGAATCAAACCCCTTTAAACTAATATCAATGGAGAAAACAACAGAGAATGAGAATAGTCTGTTTCATTCTCTTGTTCTTTTATTTATTTTTTCTATATTCTGAATTTCACAGTACTGAACTGCGATATATATATATATATATATATATATATAAAAAAAACAATTACAAGTTTACAACAACGACAAGTTAATACTTTCTGCTATCTTCTTCCTCTTAGTTCTTCTCACCTCACTCAATATTTATCAGTATTCTGTTTTTATTATTTTTTTAATTGGGTGGGGAGGTTTGTTCACCGCTTTAATGCCTTTTCACCCTGCGTTTGCAATTAATTGAGATTTCGCCACGTAAGAGTCAGCTTTCATATCGCATGATTTTCTTACTTTAATTTTAGTTTTTTTCTCCAAAATTAGGCATTAGTCCATTAATTACTGTTTCTTGTGCATGAACCAACATGTGTCAACTATCTAACTTTTTTTACTCGTATTATTTTTAGTTTTATTTATTACAATCATAATTAGAATATCTCATATCATAAATTAAACATAAATATTGTTTACTGATGGGTTCATTCAAGTAGTAAGCAATTTGATATCATTGAAATAAATTTAAGTTTAAATATTTGTATATGTAAAAAATCTTCAACAATCAAAATCAGATGTGCAATATGAGCCGATTTAGATTAGTCGGGACAAAGCCATGAAAATCGAAAATACAATATATATATATATATATATATATTATTCGATAAATAAGAAATTGTTATTTATATTTAAGTTTAATCACCCGTATTTGTAGAAATTGTTAAATTATTATTATGAGAATTGTCTTTTTAATCTAAGAATTTATTATATTCATGATATTAGATTTTAAACTTATAATTGTATTTAAATAATTTAATATTTTATACGAATTATAATTAAAAGAATCGTTGTTGTTTTAGAGGTCAAGAGTTTGAGTATCAATAATTGTAAGAGTGATTGAACGTTCATTGTGGTTGAGTATATTCAGAACATATATTATTTTATAATTATTTTAATTTAATAAAAAATTAATATTTTATCTCATTAAATTAGTTAATTATTGATATAAAATAGTATTATTTTCTTATGAATAAGGCCTTGTCTAGTGGTAATGTTGAGGTCATTGGAAAGCTAAGAAAATCAAATTACTTAAAACATTAAATAAAAAGCGGAAAATCAGTTGAATTGATATTCATGAAATTGAGTGTAGGTTTGACCTGTAAGCTGAGCTGCCATTTTCTCTTAATGAAGTAAAGATAAAATGCCAAAGGACACTCGTTTTAATAACCGCAATAATTGATGCTTATGATAGAGATGAAAAAAATGGATTTAAATTGTAATATCTATTAACTTTTAGATCTGTTTATAATGAATTTTTAGTTAATTTGAGTAAATATAATATAATATAATATTTGTTTAAAAATAATTCTGAGTTATTTTATATCAAATGTTTACGCTACTAGCATTTATAGATCTCGAATTCATGATTTTAAGGAATAACAATAATTCTTTTATCATTAATGTTGTTTGGTGTGGATATATAATTTATTTTGATGTGCTTTTTAAGGTTTAAGATATGAAATTTAAATTTAATTAATCATTTATATACTACTTTTTTTATAACACTTCATAGGAAGCATACCTTTTTTCGGTGTGAATCGCTTGATTATAGATTGAATTATTATTGTGCGTGTAGCTTCATAGGATCAGGTCGCATGTACTAGTCTTACAACATAGTTGTTATTATTGTGCGTGTAGTTTCATAGGATCAGGTCGTATGTACTAGTCTTACAACATAGTTGTCAAACTATGCCATATATGTCTATCTAATCATTTTCTTTAAAGTTTAATAATTTGTGCAATATTTAAATTAATTATAATTAAATGATTAATTAACATTTGATTTTGTAATCAAACATTAAATTTTAATAATTTATGTCTTGGTTCTTATTAAAAATACTTGTGATGGAGAATTAATCAAATAAAATTTATGTAAGAGATCAAACGATAATAAGGGCGAGGGAGCACAGGAAGGGGGACCCCACATGGTCCAACTTGTAATGTAGGCAATCACGAAATCCACGGGCTTATACAGCTGGCAAACACGCTTGCCCAAAACTTGCTCCCTACTTATACACATACAAACAGTGTAATTGTTATTTTAAATTAATATACTTATGATGTAATATTATATAATTAAAAAGAGTGTTATTTGCATTTCATATATTAAATTTTAACAATTATATTTAGTAGGGTTTATGTTACTAATGATTAAAGAAAATTACAAGGTTTAACATATATTAAATTTTACCATTTTAATTTTAAAATATAAAGTGAAACGTATATTTATTTCAAGGTTTAATATAAGAATAGATGTATATTGTAAAAAAATAGACATTGTTTTGAAAAGCAGACATAAAATGATGTGACTAGTTTGGTTGGAAACGTGGCATGGACATGTGTAAGATGGCAGTACATGTTAGTTAGGCCAGGTAAGAACTCTTGGGGTTCAGGGAACTACAAGATGATTCGAAGAATATATCTTCTAATTTTGTGAATCATATCATTTAAATAATTTTGATTAATTTACATTTTACTAATATTTAACAGTTAGTCTAGAAAAACAGTTGAATTTATATAATAATTAATAAAATTAATATGATAATAAATTTAATTCTCATTATTTATAAAATCAAATGTGTAATTAACTATTATATCTATTTCTTGATTAAATGCTAATAGTTAATGATTAGTTCTGTATAATTTAATAATTATGTGATTTGATTTATGAAATTAAAAAATCAAAAATAAATTTAAAATTCTCCCTAATTAATAGTTATGGGTGTAATTTATCCAAATAATAATAATAAATTGAGTGGAAGAATCTTGGGGAGCACTAAAGATAAAAAAGTAAATGCCATTTGTAATGATGGTTTAGGGTATAACTTACCAAATAAGTTTAGGCATAAAAGATTAGTGGCTTTATTCAATTAATCCAATCACACGATAAATTACATATATCATTTTTATGATTTAAATTATGATTTCAGTCAATTACATGATTTTATATTATATTGTTTTTATATGTGGTAATACATGTAAACAAATCTTCAAAGTATATTTTATGGGATAGAGAAAATTACTTCAATGTTTGTTTATGTGTATTATCACATGTAAAAAAAATGTACAATTATTTAATTGGTTATGACAATATCTTAAGGTGATGAGAAGAATGTACATAATAATTTCTCCAATCATACCCAAAGAAAGGACGTCAATAACACCTCTATGATCACCTCTATGATCAAGTAAAATTTAGGATAAATTATCCATTTAATCATATATCTATTATTTTCAGTCATCCAAGTATTATTTTTTTAAATCATATTCAACGTTACATATTATTATTGTTTTAGTCATTTGCGGTTAAAATATTAACGGTAACACTATTCTTTTATAACCATTTATATTGTATAGGTTCAGAACCACTCTTAACATCGGTAAATTATATCATTGTTTGGTGTTTTGTTTTTAAGACTAGACAGTCGAGGACACGTCCATTGGTACAGTGAGAGGTATGGGACCTTTTGTATGGTTTGGATGGAGAACAAAGATAGAATTGCTTTATACGTTATACATACATAGAGATAGAACTTATAGATGAATGGATGGAATGAGTTGATGAGTTGGATAAACTTTGGATTTTAGCTTTTGGAATCTCGTGTACGAATTCCTATATGTTTATCAAAATGCTGCTGCACTAATATAAAGTCCAAGTGAAATGAGTGAAGTATTCATAACACACAAATTGGTCCTTTAGATTCAAGTAAATGACACGAACTCAAGAAATGGTAAACAACTTCATGTTATTCTTAAATGATACGAATTCAAATAATATTGTGTAGAAGGTGTACGTGAGTTTAACCAGATTCAATATATAATTATAAGATCACATTAAAATATTAAAAAAATGCACGAACCCCTGTGACCTCGGTGGTAAAGGAATTGTTGATATTCCTTGAGGGTCTCGGGTTTGAGCACCGACAATGTCAAGGGTACGAGCGATCAATGTCAAATGATTGAGTGTTATCTTTAAACAGATACTATCTTGTACTTACCCTTACTTGATTATCAAAAAGGATTATTACAAACCCCATTAACCACAATACACGATGCCCACAAAACTATCCTAATCTATGGCACTTTACTCTGAAATTTGAAATATAATGCAGAAAATTACTAAACCAAATTCCTGTTTTCAGAATCAAACGAAAGGAACCATGACCGAAATGTTGAAACAAGTTGACATGCAGCAATCTCAAAATCTTTTAGCCCATTTATTAACACCAAATTAAAAAAATCCAAGATTGATCAAAATTAAAAATCAAGTTGAAGCAATCATACCCGATAGTGCACTTTGATTCTATCACCTTTATGAGCCTGGAATTCACATGATTTGGGCCTATGCTGTGATAAAATACTAAAGATAATTAAGATCACAAGAAACCAAATAAGGGGAATAAAAAGGAAAATTTTTTCTAATACATGAAGTGATGAACTAACAAACAAGGCAAGGTTAGGAACTAACACTACAGTTACCAAATTAAAAGGTAAAAACTAGTGACTCAGTTTAATAGTTTAAACTCTTCATTTGATGTGATTCCAAAGGTAAGTAACAGACTCCAGGCTCACAGATAATTAGGAATTAGCCAGGAGCAGGAAAGAAATAATCCTTGCTATGAATAATATATATATATATATATATACAAGTAGGATCCGTTGATAAGGTGTAAAACTTAAAAGTTTTACTATCATTGAATGAGTGAAAACGACATATAAGATCACAGATAGAAAATGAGAGATACTTACGAAAACGAGAAAAGTATTTTAATCTCAGAAACTAAATTCATATAAACTAAGTATTAAAAAAAATATAAAACTAAAAAAAATTATATTGTGCAAGTGGATCATAGCACCCTCTCTCTATATATAAAGAACGCTTAACTAGGGAACTGTAAAATTCTCCATATCACAGTTATAGCTAATGAGAGACACGTTCTACAACTTTTTATTTACCTCAGGTTAAATCACTAAACAGATACAAAAGAAAACTGTTTAAACGTATTTAAAGAAATACCATGACCCCGATCTGTAGCTCGGTCACATCGCCTGACTTCTTGGCATTCACTGAAGAATCGAAGCGATGGTGGAAGAAAACAATAATCAAACGTCATTAATATGAATGGATTAAATCGAAACACAAAAGAAAGTAATCAGACGGTATAATTAATGAGCAAAAAAATTGATTGGAATTGAAACATCACCGAATGGGAAAATAACCAGCAGAAGAAGCAAAATCCGAGCTACCTTAAACGCGCTGCCGAACCTCATTTCTTTTAGTTTCTTTTTCTCTTCGCTGCAACTCTATTCGGACTGTAGAATTTTGGTATTTGTTTGGATATTTTCATTAACGGACCAAAGAAACGACGTCTGTAACAGTAATGGGCTGAAATGGTATTCCTTCTTCGATTCCATTCAAGGCCTTTATGTTAGGCTAGGGTCATTTTAGATGTTCAATTACAAGTTTTATAAATAGTTTAATTATGGTTTTAGTCCTTATACTATGATGGAATTGGAGATCAAATATCTATACTCTAAAATATTCTTAAAACATTTCATTGACAGTTTGACACGGGGGCTCATGGCGGAAGCAGAGGGACTGGAAACGACCATGGCTGCCCCTAAATGGTGCATTTTCATTTTTAGGCCCTTCAAATTTAAGATATAAAACTAAGGTAATGGTGAAATTTCCTTTCCCACCCACCCCAAAAAAAGGGTAAACTACTCAAATGTCACTAATGTATAAGTAATTTTTTGTTTTCATCACTGATGTTTCAAAAGTCACAATCGGTCAATAACATTATCGTTTGTTATAAATTGGTCACTCGGCGTTAACACCATTAACAAGTGTGACTGAAAACACGTGGACCGTTAGCTGCTTACCTGGATGGTTGATCGCCACAATGGAGAACTTTTGGGATCCCTTGACCGGTGCTTTACCAAATATTTAATAAAAATTTAATTAAACAATAAAATAACGGGGGAAATCAAGGGAAATTTTAAACCTTTTCTTCTTCCATTCTTCACTTGTGACTTTTGGCTTTGCATGTCATATAAAATCAAAAGATCTGAAAGGTGGTTTATTTTTACTGCCCTTCTTCTGGTTTCTGGGTTTTCTTTTTTATATGATTTTCAGCCTGCATTTATGGGGTTTATCGGACGAAATGGGTTGTTTTTTGTTTGGTTCCTGGTTTTTTTCCCTGCGTGGAGGATGCTCTGATCATTAAATGAATTTTTGTTGTTATAAATTTCATATTTTTCTGCATTTTTCCATTGCAAGCAATGAGAATTGAGGTTTGGAATTATAATGTCGTTGCTACAAAGAGCTGTAAAGTGTTTCCAAATAGCATGAAATCTGTATGAATAAATGGATTAAATGAAAGGGATGAAACGGTTCATCTGGATGCAATGTTAAAGGCATAGCTCATGAGTTGTTGATTTCTTCGATTCTGTTATCGGCTTCCGCCACCACCGGCTTTCCTCGGTGTAATTGCAACGACGAGGGAAGTTTATGGAGCACCGAGGGCATCTTGGAGACTCAAAGAGTGAGTGATTTCTTGATCGTTGTGGCATTTTTCTCGATCCATGTCGAGCTGCTTTACTTTGTTAGCTGCTTTACAAGTGAAGAATGGAAGAAGAAAAGGTTTAAAAATTTCCCTTGATTTCCCCCCGTTATTTTATTTTTTAATTAAATTTTTATTAAATACTTGATAAAACACCGGTCAAGGGGATCCCAAAAGTTCTCCATTGTGGCGATCAACCATCCAGGTAAGCAGCAAACGGTCTACGTGCGTTTTCTGTCGTCTGTTAACGTCGAGTGATCAATTTGTAACAAACAATAACGTTAGTAACCGATTTGTGACTTTTGAAACATCAGTGGTGAAAACAAAATCTTACCCAAACATTAGTGACCATTTGAGTAGTTTACCCAAAAAATTCGAAATTCAGTGGTCTTATTAATAAAACTACATAATTACAAGCTCAAACAATGATAAAATAATTACCTTTTTATTTATTTTGTTTTGCTTTACGTAAACAGGGAGCCCTAATCTGTATTATATCTTATTTTGACTGTTAAACCAAAACCAAACAAAGACAATCGTGAATGGCAAGTAATGACAATGTTAACAAAATGATAACTGATATTGTAATAAATAAGTGACAGTGATTTTTGTATAATATGTTTCCGACAATTGTGTGAACCTGCAACACAAAACAAAAATAATACTTGAATGTTACATGCCAAGTTGGCAACTATGTTATATATTAACCAGAAAATCCGAAAGAGTTAGATTATACTAATAACTGAAGGCAACGTTACATTATGTATTTATATTTTAATTTTTTATTCTTTTAATCTGATATATACTTTTAAAATAATTTATATGACATATATATTCTGATTAAGAATTTAATATGATATTAAATATCTATCGTGTCAGTTCAAATACCTTATTAACATAAGAAGTGATAATTTGTGTACGACATTTATTAACGACATTAATTTAGATACTATAATAATATATGGAATAGTTGTTTATGCACCATTATAAATATTTTGATAAAATATAATATAATATTAAATGTTTTATTAAAGAAATAAATATTACATTATATAGTTTAAAAATATAAATGTTATATTAAATATCTTATTAAAATACAAGTAGCGAATATAATATTATCCGTATCTAAAATTATAGAAAGGCTAGCCAACCCACCGAAACAATTTTAATTCATTGGTTGAAAGTTTTTAATTTACTTTGACCAAACGAAAAAGAAACAGTTGGTTGCAAGTATTTTTATTGATTAAAATATGCCCCCAATTATTATGCTCAAATGATATTTTAAATTTTGTTTTTTTTATATATAAAACAAGGTAAATGTGTTACGATTTTTTATTAATAATAAAAATTAGTATTGATCAATTATAATGAATGAAGATCAACTTCAATATAAACATGTTAATGGTGATATTTAGATTATAATGGTTACAAGTAGTTCATTGTTAACGATAACATTTGAGTTGTTACAATTAACATGTTTCATTTGAGGTTAATAGTTTAAAAAATAATGTTTATAAAAGCGATTATCAGTTACTCATAGGATAAAGAGTATGAAGAATGAAAACAAGTTATTTGATATTAGACTCGAAAAACTTAAAAAAATAATAGATTAAAATTATTTTGTTGCGATTTTCTATCCCCATAAGGAGTAAATAATCTTATCCCTTTCACCCAAGGGAATCTCCACTTCATCACGTCCTTTTCTTTATCTTTGGCTAAATTACACAGAAGTTACTTAACTATTTTAAAATAATAATTCTGACCATTAAATTATTTAAAATTATTAAATGATCAATTTAATTTATTGAACTTATAGAAAATGGTCATTATAATAGTATAATAATGATAAATTTTTGACAAATAGTTCGTAATAATTTAATAAATGTCAATGATAAATTTCCAAAATTTTAATGAATTTAATGATTATTTTATAATTATTTGATAAATTTTATAATTATCTAATAATTTTTAAACGTTCAGTAATCAAATATAATCATTTAAATATAATTTAATGACCTCTACTATATGAGTGGACCACCCATACAATTAACACACTATTTTATTTTTATTTTAAATTTTATATTAAAATTTAAAAATAAAATTAATATTAATTTAAAAATGATCAATACTTATTAAAATAAAATTTACATCTATAATTTAACTTTTCCATTGTTTCTCTTCGGCAAAGTCCACTTCTCGGTTTCGAACCCCGTGGGATAGTTGGTGTCTTCGTGTTAGATCTACTTTTTCTGATGGTTGGAGGCCATCTTGGACGGTTTTAGTTAAAGATAAACATATGGACGATCAGGTGAAAACATAGATATATAAAGAACCGGTCGTATATCAATTTCGTCCTTTATCGAAACAAGAATCTATGACAGGAGGACAATGCTATTTATCATATAATATTGGGAATTCCGTTTAACCATTCTCATCGTCTCCACCATCTTGGTCCCTGCGAAGTTGTCGTTAGTGCAAATAAAACAATAATCAAAACTATGGTTACATAATCAAAGCCAACTTCGTTAAGATATGTACTGATAAAATGTCATTTAAGTTTTCAATTCAAACACTTTGACAATCAACATTGGCTAGAAATATTTAATAAAAAAAGCCAGGTCTAGTTTCATTTGACAAATATATTATCGAAGCAATTCATAAAAAAAAATATTACTCTGACTGTATTCATTTTCATTGACTCATGAAAAATTCAACGTCTTCTAGAACATCACATCCTGACGCAAGCAATTGTGTCGATCTGGGTTTGAAAGAAAGATTTCAAATATTTCATGTGTGGATTACTTTACTATAAATTCAAAGTATCAGACGCCAAAATTTACCATACGCTAACAGCATCCGATCCTTATCTGGTTCTCTCTCTCTCTCTCTCTCTGATATTATTCTTAGATCTTTGCCTTCCGACGAACTTGAAAAAGATGGCTAAGAATCTGATGCGCGCAGTTCAATACAGTAAATATGGTGGAGGAGTCGCTGATATGAAGGTAATCTACTTGCTCATTTGATATTTATTATTTTTTTCCTGTTAAGAGTGTTTTTCTAGAGTTAGAAAGTTTGAATACAAGGAAATATAGAGGGTTTTTTTCATTATTAAAATGGAGATTTTAATTACTTTTTTTATCTAGTCCTTATGTAGGCTTGTTACTTGTGTGGATGTAAACAAGGGTGGAGAAGGAGCTTCGGAATTAGTAAATTAAATTAGGGCCGTAGACTTTAATTTGAAGCCAAGTTATTAATTAAACTGATTTTGAAATCTAACAAATAAGAATCAATTTTGCGGGAAAATTGATTTTCTGTACACGTCCGGTGGCTCAGTGTCGCCGCCATCGGTTACTGCTCTTCTCGTACTCGGGATAGAGGCTCCGGATCTATATACTTCCTACTTCGCGAATTTCTATATATTTATTCAAAATTTTATTTTGTAGGATTTTGATTCCAAGTGAAATCGAGGTGTTGTGAATTGATTCCTTCACTGACGTGAAAAGAAAAAAGAAAAATAATTTGGACATCAAATTTGAATATTCTTCAACTCATCGATTCCATTCGTATGGAAACAGATGATAGCCATTCGTTTGGCCAGAGCTTTGAATTTGTTTCCCAGTTCTTGCAACAACGCTAAACTTGATTTGAAACCGGTGAACTGTTTTTCTCACTGTTGTGAATTTGATGCCTGTTGCAGCATGTTGAAGTCCCGATTCCCAGTCCAAAGAAAGATGAAGTTTTGATCCAAGTAGAGGCGGCTAGTATTAACCCAATCGACTGGAAAATACAGAACGGGATTGCCCGCCCATTTTTACCTCGCAAATTCCCCCACATTCCTGGTACGGATGTTGCAGGAGAAATCGTACAGGTTGGAGCAGGAGTCAACAATTTCAAAGCTGGGGACAAAGTTGTTGCCGTACTTGGTGTAAGTAGTCACTCTTATTTTTCTGGAATTTATTTATTTTACTTGTTCAAATTTTCAGCCATCTTGCAGGTTTTCTTCTTCAATAAACACCATTCGTATCTTACTAATGTGAATGATTGGGTATTTTTGGATACAAGTTGTACGCTAGTATCCCACTAATCTTTCGGTGAATAACTATAAATGGGAGATTCTGCTTGAAGAAAGAAGTGGAAGAAGCATGCTACCATAATAGATAAGAATTTGGATAATAGTTGATGGCGTTTGTGTTTTAGGTCTTAGGCTATTGGCTCAAGCAATTAATAGTTGATCGCCCTGCTTCCTGTTTGAATGAATGAAAGAAAATGGAAGTTTTGTGTCATGTCATCCCTTGAATTTAAACTGCTGTTATATTGCCGACTGTGGGTTTTGTCCTTCTAGATAGAATGACTTAACTTTTAATATTTGAATGCATTTTGCAATGACAGAATGGAGGTGCACTAGCTGAATTTGCTGTGGCTCATAAGGATTCGACAGTTCTAAGGCCTCCAGAGGTATCCGCCGCGGATGCTGCAGCCTTGCCAATTGCTGGCCTCGCAGCTCACCAGTCACTCACCAAGCTTGCTGGACTCAAACTCGATGGAAGCGGCCCTCCAGTTAATGTCCTGATTACCGCTGCTTCAGGAGGTGTTGGTACATATGCGGTTCAACTGGTAAAGCTTGCAAACGCACACGTGACGGCCACTTGTGGGGCTCGTAACATTGAATTAGTCAGGAGCCTGGGGGCTGATGAGGTTCTTGACTACAAGACTCCTGAAGGAAAAGCTCTGAAGAGCCCATCCGGTCGCAAATACGACATAATCATCCACTGTACGGCCAACATTCCCTGGTCTACCTTTGAGGCTAACCTGACTCCAAAAGGAAAGGTAGTAGATACCACTCCTGGTTTTGGGACTCTGATGAGTGTTGCTGTGAAAAAGGTTACATTCGCGAAGAAGCAGCTGCTACCCTTGTTTACGGCGGTTAAGCAAGAGAACCTCAATTATCTTGTTAAGTTGATGCAAGCAGGAAAGCTTAAGTCGGTAATCGATTCAACTCATCCTTTAACCAAGGCTGAAGAGGCTTGGGCCAAGAGCATTGAAGGTCATGCCACCGGGAAGATTCTTGTGGAGCCCTAGATTATGATACACTAGCTTGATTAAGTTTCTGTGAGTGGGTTTGCTAATGAACCATTTGTATAATCATAGGTACTCAGTATTTTGAACAACACAAGTGTTGGTGTGTGAATTATTGTTTTCGTAATCATTCTTGTCTTTTGTATGTGAACAATGTTGCTGAGATTTAATGTTATTGAACCCTTTGTTTTGTTATAAATTTAAATATTTTTAATAATCTTTTTGGTCTCTTGAAGTATGTCAATGTATTGCAGCATAGATTTTGTAGAGTGAACAAAAACAGGAGGCAATTGATAGAAGAAAGAGTGAAATATAAATCTTATAATATTGATCTTGTTACAAAATATGATCGGTGATAGTGGTGATTGGCTGTTAAAAATGATTGAAAAAGTTTAGTATTTAAAACTGAACATTTTTTAGTTTAATAGTAAAATCAATAGAACTTTAAAGTTTAATGTTAAACGACATCGTTTTGAACATTAATATACATGCCAAAACACATCATTTTATGTAATTCACCACAATGATAGAAAAATCAGTCCATATAATATTGTTGTTAAAATTTAAAAATCCAATGATATAATTAAAGTCAAAATCAAAGATTATAATTAGAACTAAAAATTTAATGATATAAATGATACATCATCTGAAGTTCAATGGTATACGAAATGATTTATCCTTAAAAAATTCATATACGTGGCATTGTATTTAGATGGTAACATTGATTTGGATCCATCTACTCTATTGAAAATATATCATGTGCTCTTTAAAACTACCAGTTATTTATACACTCCAGGTATAATTTTCTTTAGAAGGAGCTTGAAAAATGACGACCCCAACGCAGCTGATACTCTCCTTCTTCCTCCTCTTATCTCTCTCCACCGTCGCACTTTCCGTAAGTACCCTTCAACAGTCCCGATAATTCCCTCCACCATCTCTAACCTATTTATCTCTTGCATGCAGGATGAAGAAGATTGCGTTTATTCCCTCTACATAAGAACGGGATCAATCATCAAAGGCGGAACCGACTCCGTCATCAGTTTAACACTCCAAGATGGCTACGGTGAGTTCGTCGAGATCAGCAACCTCGAAACCTGGGGCGGGTTAATGGAGCCAGAGCACAACTATTTCGAGAGGGGTAATCTGGACATCTTCTCGGGTAGGGGACGCTGCTTGTCTTCCCCTGTATGTTCCATGAACTTAACCTCGGATGGGTCGGGTCCAGGCCATGGATGGTACTGTAACTACGTGGAGGTCACCGTCACCGACGTCCATTCCCCTTGTAGCCAGCAGCTGTTCACGGTGGAGCAATGGTTGGCGCTCGACGCCTCACCCTACAACCTCACGGCCATCAGGAACAACTGTTCCTCGGAGTTTCCTGTTGATCGTCGCCGTGATCGTATGTCTACTGTCTAGCTCTACCATGTTATGAGTCTTTATTATGTACGGTGAAAAACTTCTAAATGTATTTTGATGGTTGGATCGATCATAAAAGATGATTGGTGAACTTATTTTGGAGTGATTTGCATTTTTGATATTTCTGAATAAAAATATGGAGTGTTATGATTCTATATTCAGCGGTTCGTCCGATTTAAAAAATTATTTTATTATTTATTTGATTTAATTTGAATTATATTTTATTCGATTCGAGTTTTAAAAAAATTGCGTTAAAGAATAAAATATAATTTATTAATTTAAGTAACTTAAATTTTTCGTACCATTTGATCGAACACTTGCCTTTACGTACATTGAATGATGATATCTAGGCGATATATGAAAATTTAGAATTTAGAAATTAATAAAAATCTTTAAAACATATATTAATTTATAATTAATTAAAAAATGAAAATTAATGAAAATTTTCAAAGAGTCTTATGGTAAAAGCCGCCAGCGACGTTTCATGTACTGAAGGAGATAGTTACATTGTTGTAGCTCTGGAAAATACTTGGAAATTGCCTGCTCTCTTGCAAGATATAAATATTACACCCTCGAACCATTTCCTATCTAAATATTTAAATTTTCAAAACAAAAAAAATCATATTTTAAAATGTAAAATTTAATTTACTAATATTTACATTTAAAAACTTAAAATATTATTTTCTTAAGATCCGCTGCTATCCTTACACCTAGTGCTATCATCCTCTAACTTACAAAAACATCAGATAACAAAATAATATGAATGCAAGCCCAAGGTGGAACAAATCGAAAATAAAACGATCAGCGTATAATAGATCATCCTTGCAAGATGATAAAAGTGCATATTATTTATCTAATTTCATATTAATGTAATTAATTCCTTCAATAAAAAATTATGATATTTTTGATTAATTCGTAGTGATTACAACAAAATACGTAATATCTATTTTACTTAAACCTATAATTCATTTAACTATTGAAATAATTTGTTTCGTGAAAAAAAATGATATTAAACTTAACATTTAGTACCTCCGTACATGCTAGCGACGGCCACAGACAAAAATGAAACAGCCGCCAGACCTAGCATCGATAATCTAGATACATCTAGAATTTTCTTGTTTGGTCTAAAGATATAATTACGTTAATAATTTTAATTAAATTAATATATATTGATTTGTAATACTAGTTTAATGAATATTTAATGATAAATAGAGATGTCGGAACGCAGGAAATTGTTACTTTTCAGTGCGTGTTGTTTTCGTAGACTAATCAAATTCAATGTTTTCCGGAACATCAACTTCGGTTCCATAGCAACGCGCAGTCAATTATTTCATTCGGATTCGAGAGAGAGAGACATTCATTCAAGTGTGGATTACTTTACCATAAATTCAAAGAATCTGACGCAAAAATATACCATCCCATAACACCATCCAATTCTATTTCTTCCCTCCTCTTTCTCAGATTCTATTGTTGATTTCGCATTGCCACCAACTTCAATAACAGCTTCGCTTTTCATTTCCCTTCGAAAATTTAAAACTAAAATGGCTAACAATCTGATGCGTGCCGTTCAATACAGTAAATATGGCGGAGGAGTTGACGGTTTGAAGGTAATCTACTTGCTTCTTTCATTTTTTCCCTCAATTACTAGTATTTTGATAAACTTTAAAAACCAATTGCTGGTGATCTGTTTTTCTAATGCCCGTGAATTTGATGCCTTCGCAGCATGTTCAAGTCCCGATTCCCAGTCCGAAAAAGGATGAAGTTTTGATCAAAGTAGAGGCAGCTAGTATTAACCCCATCGACTGGAAAATACAGAATGGGATAGCCCGCCCTTTTTTACCTCGCAAATTCCCCCACATTCCTGGTACGGATGTTGCAGGAGAAATCGTGCAGGTTGGATCAGAAGTCAAGCGTTTCAGAGCCGGCGATAAAGTCGTTGCCGTACTTGGTGTAAGCACTCATACTTGCTCTTTTGGATACAAATTGTATAGTAGCATGCCAACTAATCTTATTATATGAATGTATTTTGCAAATGACAGAACGGAGGTGCACTAGCTGAATTTGCTGTGGCCAAGGAGGGTTCCACAGTTCCAAGGCCTCCGGAGGTATCCTCCCTTGAAGCTGCAGCTTTGCCGATTGCCGGCCTCGCAGCTCACCAGTCAATCACACAGCATGCTGGCCTCAAACTCGATGGAAGCGGCCCGCAAGTAAACGTCCTTGTTACCGCAGCTTCAGGCGGTGTAGGAACATATGCGGTTCAGTTGGCAAAGCTTGCAAACGCCCATGTGACAGCCACTTGTGGGGCTCGTAACACGGATTTAATCAGGAGCCTGGGGGCTGACGAGGTTCTTGACTACAAGACTCCTGAAGGAAAGGCTCTGAAGAGCCCTTCCGGTCGCAAATACGACATAATCATCCACTGCACAAACAACATTCCCTGGTCTACCTTTGCGGCTAACCTGACTCCAAAAGGAAAGGTGGTAGATACTACTCCTGCTTTTGGTACCATGATGAGTGTTGCTGTGAAAAAGATCACATGCTCCAAGAAGAAGCTCATTCTCGTGTTTACGGATCCTAAGAAAGAGAACCTGGATTATCTTGTGAAGTTGGTGAAAGCAGGAAAGCTTAAGCCAGTAATTGATTCAAAGCATCCTCTAGGTAAGTCTGGAGAAGCTTGGGGCAAGAGCATTGACGGCCATGCCACTGGCAAGATTCTTGTGGAGCTCTAGTTTATGAACATTGCTTCATATATAATTTGCTTTACTTTTTCAGAGTGATTTGGGTTGCTTATGATGAGTCATTTGCATATTTCACAAGTACTTTGTATTTGAACAATGCAAATGTTGGGTAGGAGGTAATGTTATTTGGTACTTTGTTTTCTTATGAATTTTACAATTTTTTGTTTAATGTAATTCAAATTCTAGATGATGTTATGGACAATTAGATTTTGTGCTCTTAATAACCTTGAGTTTATTCTCAATTATTGAATTTATTCTATAATTATTAATATATGATTCATCAATAAATTCAAATCAATATTTTATTATTAAATTACGTTTTGAATTCAATTTTCTTTATAATATTAAAATTTAAATATTAATTAAAAACTTTTAAATTTTGGTTGTATCGATTCTTTACATTTTGGTTGAAAATTTATAGTGATTCTTTTTTTGGATAATTCATCAATTTTATTACCTAAGGAAGCATAGAATGCTACAAAAATACCGATCACAAGACATTTATACAAGCTACAGACAAAAGAGACGATCGGTTTTAATCAAAACCCCAAGAAAAATAGAGGTTAAAGTTAATCTATTAATGTTCTTCCCCTAAGTTTGATTCCTATACATTCTTTGATGCAAGTTAGGAGGTCATCTTTAGTTCGAAAGCATCCTTCAAATATGCTTCTATTGCGTTCTTCCCACAGAAAACATATAGAAGCACCCCATGCGAGCTTAAGATAGTAGACAAAAGAGACTTTCTTTCCAAGAACTATGAGCCCAAACAAACAAATCCTCCCATGATGAGCAGTGTTTCTTGATGTTGAGAGTAGCAGAATTTTGCTCCTAAAAATGAAGCAGTGGAGCAGTCGAAGAACAAGTGATTCCTAGATTCTATTGCGTCGTTGCAAAGCACACAATTCTCTTCAGTGGTGATCCCCATACGCTGCAGTCGGTCACGTGTTGGCAATCGATCGAGTATTGCCATCCAAGCAATTAGACTGTGCTTGGGAATATACTGTGAGAACCATATCAGTGAATGCCAGGGAACCTTGTTTTCCTTCACCCTAATCTCTTACGAAAAATCTTTAATGTAAATGCACCATTCGATATAGGGGAGATAGCTTACTGCGTAATTTAAGAATACAGTTGAAACTCCAACTAAAACTTGCTTTGCTTTCCATTTGCCACAATCACTGTCCTTAATAACATACGCATGGATCCAAGCAATCCATAATGATCCCTCTCCAGCCAATAAATTCCTTATGAGCTTGATCATGCAAGCTTTATTCCAAATTTTGAGATTTTTCAGACTAATACACCCTCAGATTTTAATTGACGGATTTTTGCCCAGCTAACTCTTGCTCATGTAGCTAATTTATCAGAGCCTTTCCAGAAGAACCTAGAGCAAAGCTGTTCAATCTTGCTGATTATTGCTTAAGGAAGAGAAAGTTGCGTACACCAGTAATTAACAATACTGAATAGGACTGCTCGGATAAGTTCTAGTCTTCCAGCATAAGTCAGATTTTTACGAGACCAAAGAGCAAGTCTTGCTTTAATATTGGCAATAAGAGAATCACAGTCTTTCTCAGAAAGTTTACGAGTAGTCAATGGGATTCCAAGGTATCTAACTGGTAAATGACAGTAAGTGAACCCAGTAGCTTGTTCAATATACTCAACAGTTTTGAATGAAATTCCAGCAGTGAAGAAAGTACATTTAGCAGCATTTAAGTTCAGACCAGACATCTCATAGAAACTTTCAAGAACAGTAATGACACCAATTACTGACTCAACATTACCCTTACATAAGATTAACAAGTTGTCGGCAAAGGATAAATGGGTGAGCCCTACTTTCTTACATTTAGGATGGTAGCTATAAAGACCTCTTGCAGCACCATATTAAGCATGGAAGAAAGAATATTCATTGAAAGAACAAAGAGGATGGGTGAAATAGGGTCACCTTGCCTTATAGTGATTCTTGGAGTTGGTTTCAAGCGTAAAATCATCATGAATACTCGTAGGCTAATAGATTAGGTATATATAATCAAGCGATGATAACTTTAGATCTAATAAGTCACATAGATTTGTCAGAAATCATGTCAATATGTTGTAGCTTCTTAATATTGTTATATATTCGAAGTTCTTTCTCCGGAAATGTTCTCTTGATGTCTTATGAAACTCCTTGAATACTAGAGTTTAAGAATGCTATCTTTAAAAAAAATTATATGAAATTGATATATGGAAAATCATTAACGAAGATATAACAATATTATTTGTTAAAATTCAAAAAAGTTATCCTTAACTCTATCTTAATTATTTTTTACTATATAAGATATGAAATATTTATTTTAATTTTATAATAAATATTACAAATTAAATAGAAATAAAATTTGATTTGATTTGATTTGATTATAATTTATAAAATTATAAAATATTAATGATCTTATTATAATAAGTTATGTCGATTTGGAATTTATTCTCCGGGCCGAAAAGCAAAAGAAAATTCTTTATACCTACATAGCCAGCACCAGGTGTGGCGGCTGTTTCTTTTGAAATACATATAAAGTCCATTTGGTTCTTCTTTCATACAAATTGGTTCCTGATGCGACATAAAGCTAAAATGAGTATTATTTATTATATATTAATGAAGGATTAGATACAAATGAAACTCAATCTTATCGCCTAGAATACAATAAAGCCTAGGAGGAAGAGTTTCATAAATAGCAATTACATTGCGACTATAATTTAAATTTAATTTTTTTATATATATTTTTATTAATAATATGCTTTTTGTTCCCATCAGATTTTAGAAATTTATCTCATTTAAAATTTTATAATTTCGTCTCTTAATATGTGTGATGAGTTCGTCTATATTTGCAGACGTAACCAAAAAAACTATTAGAACTCAGTATCTTTAAAGAGTAATATGTCATTTTATCACCGAAGTCGTTTGATAATTTAATTTTAAAAAATTCAATTAAATATTTTATTTCAAAATTAGTATTTTAGAAATTTAATATATTTTTAAAATTTCCTCTTAAAAAATCTATATATTTAAAGTTATAAAAATATAATGTGTCATGTGACAATAATATCTTTAAAAATTAATAAAATTTAGTCACCAAAATTAATCAAAAGATTTATAAAAGTTTGGTCAATTTTTAAAAAGTTTAAAGAATTCATACACAGTAAATGTAATATTTAATAAAAACTGTTTTACAAAATAAAACTCTTAGAATTATCTATAAAAGTAAATTTGGAATTTTATTAAAATAAAATAAAATTATTATATTAAAAATAGAATTATTTTATAAATGAAACAAAGTTGTTTTATTAAAATAAAATAAGAAAATTTTATTAAAATAAAACAAGAAGATTAAAAATTAATATAAAAATATTAATCAAATTAAAAAAAATGGTATAAAAAAATCAAACTCGACCAAAGCGAATAAAATCGACGGCACCCACGATTTGATAGACTAATAAAATTCAATGTTTCTAGAGCATCGGTTCCCAGTAACGCGTATTCAACTATTTCGTTCGGATCGTGGGGAAAGATATTCCAGTGTGGATTCTTCACTATAAATTCAAAGTATCTACGCAAAACATATCATCTCATAACAGCATCCGATCCTCCTCTTTCTCAGATATTTTGCCCTTACCACAAGCTTTACAAAGCACTTTGGTTTTCATTTTCTCTTAGATATTTTCCTCCAAAAATGGCCAAGAATTTGATGCGTGCCGTTCAATACAGTAAATATGGCGGAGGAGTCGACGGTTTGAAGGTAGGCTCTTTTTTTTTTTAAGAAAGGTTTGAATTAAAACGCGAGATTTAAAGTAAATATTGTTGGTGGCTTGTTTTTGTAATGGTTGTGAATTTGATGCCTGTTGCAGCATGTTGAAGTTCCGATTCCTAGTCCCAAAAAGGATGAAGTTTTGATCAAAGTAGAGGCAGCTAGTATTAACCCCATCGACTGGAAAATACAGAATGGGATAGCTCGCCCATTTTTACCTCGCAAATTCCCCCACATTCCTGGTACGGATGTTGCAGGAGAAATCGTGCAGGTTGGATCAGAAGTCGAGCGTTTCAAAGCCGGAGATAAAGTCGTTGCCGTACTTGGTGTAAGCACTCGTTCTTGTTCTTTTGGATACAAATTGTATAGTAGCTAGTAGCATGCCAACTAATCTTATTATATGAATGTATTTTGCAAATGACAGAACGGAGGTGCACTAGCTGAATTTGCTGTGGCCAAGGAGGGTTCCACAGTTCCAAGGCCTCCGGATGTATCCTCCCTCGAAGCAGCAGCTTTGCCGATTGCGGGCCTCGCAGCTCACCAGTCAATCACACAACATGCTGGGCTCAAACTCGACGGAAGCGGCCCGCAAGTAAACGTCCTGATCACCGCAGCTTCAGGCGGTGTAGGAACATATGCGGTTCAGCTGGCAAAGCTTGCAAACGCACACGTGACAGCCACATGCGGGGCTCGTAACATGAATTTAATCAGAAGCCTGGGGGCTGACGAGGTTCTTGACTACAAGAGTCCAGAAGGAAAGGCTCTGAAGAGCCCATCAGGTCGCAAATACGATATAATCATCCACTGTACCACCAACATTCCTTGGTCTACTTTCGCGGCTAACCTGACTCCAAAAGGAAAGGTAGTAGATACTACTCCTGCTTTTGGTACACTGATGAGTGCTGCTGCGAAAAAGATTACATGCTCCAAGAAGCAGCTCATTCTCGTGTTCACGGATCCTAAGAAAGAGAACCTGGATTATCTTGTGAAGTTGGTGAAAGCAGGAAAGCTGAAGCCTGTAATTGATTCAAAGCATCCTCTAAGTAAGGCTGGAGAGGCTTGGGGCAAGAGCATCGATGGCCATGCCACTGGCAAGATTCTTGTGGAGCCCTAGTTTATAAATATTACTTTATAATTTACACTACTATTATAATTTTGTCAGCGATTTGGGTTGCTCATGAGTCATTTGTATAATTCACAACTACTGTATTTTGAACAATGCAAATATTTGTGTGTAAAGTTTTTTTTTTTTTGGTTTATATTTCTCGTCTTCTTCTGGTAATGTAAACAATGGTATGTGAGATGTAATGTTATAGAGCACTATAGTTTGTTATGAAATTTTAAAATTCTTTGTTTAATGAAATTCGAATTGCATAAAATCATATGGATAGCTAGGATTTGTTTAATGATGAGTATTGCTCTGGAAAAGATCACATTCTCGAAGCAGCAGATCTCAACCGGCACCCAAGACAGAGAACCTCGAGTTTCGTGTCAAGTTGGTGAAAGAAGGAAAGCTTAAGCCAGTAATTGATTCCAAGTAATGTTGGAGGGGCTTGGGCCAAGAGCATTGATGGTCATGCCACTGGCAAGAATATTGTTGAGCCCTAATTTTATGAAGATTGTTTGATACTTACACTAGATTTATATTTTTTCGAGTCATTTGTATATTCACAAGTACTCGGTACTTGAAACCATACAAATGCTGGTCTGTGAGTTTTTTATTTTCATCTTTCTCGTCTTCAAAGCTTTTCAAGATGATGATTGCAAAGTACTTCTCATGAACTTTGATTGCAATGTTTGTATTTTCTTTATCGTTAAACAATTTTCAAAAATATAACTTTTTATTTAAAGCATTATATCACCTGAATATTAACAACAGAAAATCTGAACTATTTGCAGAGGGGAGAACAAAAAGTTGAAACCAAGAAAAATAAACCTTTCAAAGTAATCATTCTCCAAGTTGTATAATAATGGTGTTTAAATTTCAGCAACACTGGGATCTTTAAGGAAGAATCGTATGCCCAGAAATGTGACTACGGAACCAAAGACTTACCCCCTGGGATTACCTCAAGAGGATTTATAATACAAAGAGTAAGACAAACATAAAAAATTCTAAATATGGTGCCATAAATGGAACTCGTGCCTTCAATATGCAAACTGGATTTGGAACATAACCAAGCCCCAAGCTGCAATTTTGTTTGTAATCCATGGAGTATACAGTATAAAATATAAAATTATACCTTATTCATCACTGCTGCATACTGGGAAAGCATGAACTGAGGATCTAAAAAAGAATAACTATGATATTTGAGAAGCAGTGCCGTCTGTAATCCTCTGTAAAAACATCGCCCTAGCAGCCGGATCGGTTGCAAATTGGCCTAGCACAGCAATTGTAGCCGTGTTACTGCCAAATTTTTCGATCCCTCTAGAAATCATACAGGTGTGGTTAGCTTCCACAACTACCATGATATCCCCACCTAAGATAGATGAAACCGTCTCGGCAATTTGCCTTGTAAGTCTTTCTTGCACTTGGAGCTTGAAGCCGTAAAAATGTACTATTGACTGCAAAAGGGACTTCCCGATGTGGTTGAATTCTTTAGGGCAGAAGTATCCAATATGAACTACACCATAAAAGGGAAGTAGATGGTGCTCACATTGTGACCAGAATGACAGGTTCAACTCTGAATGCATATGTTTGTTGTTGCGCAAACCGACTTCCCCATTAGGTTTAAGGAGATCGGTTATGCCGCAAGCGAAGCCATTCAGCTTCATCTCTAACTTCGTATTCTGAAAATTCATCAACCACCTCACGAAATGGCCAGGAGTTTCCACAAGCTCTTTCCTTAATGGATCTTCACCCAAAGATCTGAGTATTGATGCTACTGCAGCAACCATTTCAGGGTTGCCTGCTACAAGATCAGACGGAATTTTAGCCATAGGTGAAGAATGTGAAGGGCACCAACTTTGTTTGGTAGAGTCCTTTGTGAGAATTTTCTCCGCAGTCACACCTCTGAATTTCAGAAGACCAAGAAAATCAACCCAGGCATCAGCATTTTCATTTCCGAAAACACCAGATCCCGAGGACACAAGCACTTTTAACCATCCTTGATGCTTCGAGTCCAGGCAGACCGACTCCAAATTCGGGAAATGAATATGCAAACACTCAAGTATCACGGCAACCCCGCTGGCTTGATTCCATGGTGCAAAGATGAACATATTTCATCGGCTAAACGCTGTGGGTCTTGCAGTCGTTTTGCAAACACATCAGCTACCCTAGAGAGTTTGCTTAAGCCAACAACCCGCTGGCCTGATGGCACATAACCTACATGACACTTAAGCTGAAGCGGAAGCAAGCATGACTCACAATACGAGAATAGATCGAGATCTCGAACGATCACAAGCCCACCTACACCTCCAGCATGACCAACTCCATCATGTAAACCCACTTCAGGGAATAAAGCTCCCTCAACAACATCTTTCACCTTCTGCTCGTAACCTGAAAAAGATAATGGAAAGTTCAATACTCAGCACAAACATGAGAATACAACATGTATACGAGCAAACACAGCCTTATTTTTAACATTAAAAAGCTCTGTACAAACAACATTCAATCTTGGTCTGGTATTATTCTAACGAACCTAAAACATATTCAACAAAGCTTATTGATTGCAAAATCCTTTGAGTAAAGATTTAAGTAATAAACAACCTTCTTGAACCAGGTATGGATCTAGAACTAAGTAAAAAAAAATGGAGATCTCGGAAAATTACTGGGAATGAACGAATAAATAAATGAAAAAGTACCTCTTGTTCCTCCACGAAGTGCCTTGGCAACACGAAGGGGAGTTTTCACAAGACCCTCTCTGTTGACATCCTCACCCAAACCCTGCAATAGAACTTTGACAGCATCCTGAATAGCTATGGTTTCAGGCTCTTCCTCGAAACCCAACTTCATTCCATTCTCAATCTCAACGCATAAATGGACCTCATCCAAAGAGCCCATTGACAAAACCACAAAAACCAACCAACCTCGATGCGGAATCAAAGAATAGAGAAAATCCCAAACCTTGAATCAACCCAGAAATCAAACGGATTCTACGAATGTTAATTCAAAACCCAGATTTCGATCAGAAACCTGTGAAATCCGAGTCTCCCAAATGCAGGAGAAAGACGAGAAAAATATAAGCTTTGGGAAATAGGTGCAGGGAGAGGAGGAGGAGGGGCTGATCCAATGGAATGGGATGGATATAATATTAAAATAATAAATTAAGAACTTTTCTAAAACCAAAAATATTATGTGAGGTAGAGAAACTTTGAGGTTAAAGACAATTTTAAGTCGGACCCAAAAGCAATTAGCAGCCGGAGCTTTTGTCATTCCTAAGAGCCATTTGCGTTTAGAAAAAATGACGGCGGCGACCCAATGAATAAAGGGAAAGACAAGTTTTAGTTGCGACTGTAGAGCACCTTTAAAATAATTATTATGTGCTAAAATTTGGTTCGTCCACATATTTTTTAGGATACAAGATAAATTTAGTGAAAAAAACAAATATTAAAAATATTAGGGGTGTGAAGATAAAAATTAAATATTTAGGAAATTTAAGACATCTAAATAGAAAGTTGTCAGTGTCTCGTATATTGATCAAGTATCTTTTATTTATTTACAAATTTATTGTGTTCACCTTTTTACTTTTAAATCGAAATAATTAAATTATTTTAAAAGATTTAATTTACTTATCATCGAGATTAATATATACCATTAAAGGATATTTTTACAGTGTAAACTTTAATTATAATTTAACCTTTTATACAGAAGCTATTTTATAAAGAAAATGGTTGAGCCAGGCCCTGAAAGAGTAGGAGAAAGTGGGACATGGGCATCGCTATCTCACCAACCCACCAAACTCGAAAACAGATCCTACAACGAATATGTGGGATGATTGAATATAAATGTTGATTAAGTTTTGATTCAAAGCCAAATCAATGCCTAAGATTTGCATTAATCTTTAACGGTGATGTAAGATCCAACGCCAGCACCACCCTGCTTACTGGTTACGTACGTACTTTTCTCAACTACAACTTTTCTTCTTCTCCGCTTACATCCTTTTGAACGAGTCTTGGCCTTTTCCTTCTTCTTTTTGGCGACAACAAACTCTGCTTGGCTGTTTCGTTGGGCTTGTTGTTTGCAAGTTGCTGCCAGCAAATCACGTGCACCACACCAACTCTTGTGGGTTGGTAACAAGTTGATAATGCTTAAAACATATTAGTCTCATCAGAAGAAATGCATTTAAATCTCTTTTCTTTTAAATAGATATGTGTATACGTTGTTAATAAATTAAGATTTTTTTAAAAGTATGGGTGATTACAAGGTAGCATTTAGTTAAAATTTTCTTAACATATTGATAACGAACACACACCTTGCAGACGTCGCTGCTCTAGCTTATAATTTATATAGAGATCAATGTTATCTTTTACCACTGAAATCACTTAATGCATTCGAATAAAATAAACATTTTATAAATATATATTATCTTTTAATCGCTCTAAACTATTAAAAATTTTAATTTAAACAATAAAAATTTAAATTTAAACTGTTTGTTTTGAATTCTTCTATTCAAATCTACTCAATCCATGAGTACAGACATTAAAAGGGGATAACAGATGCTCGATTTAAGTGTTTTATAAGTGTGTGAATATTATTGCTTTTTGAATTAGGATATAATTTTGAATTTGAGTTTAAGTTTGGATTTTAGAAGTTAAGATTGGAGTTAATAGGTGTAGAGGGCTTTTAATTTAAATTGCTTTTGATAAATTAATTTAATGGAGTTGAGTTGTACGAAATAAGGGGAATTGTATTGGCTGCTAAAGCAAGCAGTCCGGGAGCCCCACAAGAGCATTGCGATGGGAGGCGCCCCCGGTTGAGTGGGTAAAGGTTAACACGGACGAGGCAAGCAACGCTCTGGACGGATACGTCTCATGTGGAGGAGTGATTAGAAATAATGATGGAGAATAGGTAATCGGATTTTTTAAAGTCGTGGGAATATGTTCGGTGGTGGAAGCCCAACTGTGGGGGTGCTCAAAGGCCTTTCTCACACCCAGAACATCGGACCACAGAGGGTTATCTTTGAGGTTAACAACACGGACGCATTCCAGTTATTATCTCAACTAGCACAAGGAATGGCATCGTAGGTTATCCTATAACATATATGAGAGAGGGTGAATGAGAATTGGGTGGTATCATTTTTACAGGTTCGCCGTGGAGTGATCAGGCTAGCCCACAGCATAATAAAGTTGATCCATAAAGATGAATTTGCAGGATGGATCTTTCAGACACCTCCGGACGATATCCTTTCAACCCTACATGAGGATGGCTTAGGACTGAGTTCTTGATGCTTGTTCTAGTATTAGCTTAAGTTTTTTGCTCAAAAAAAAGGGGTGAAATCGTGTTTTATTTATTAATTTATAAATATTATATTTAAAAATAAAATTATTTGAAGAATTAACAGTGAAAATTTTACAATTAAAAAAATAAATGTACATTTCATAAAAGAAATATATTTATCACGTTTTAATCTCGTTTGTTGAAAAAATTATATTATGCTTGTGCATATAATAATAATTTAAAAATATACTAAATATGTATAAAATATCAAGTGGGGTTGGGGCCAACCTACTACCCTACTTCCCTTTACCCCATTGCATATGGGAATATGATTTTGTTGTTGTTGTATAAAATATCAAGTGGGGTGGGGCATAATATATTGTATGTGTTTATCTTTAAGTAAATATATATTTTGGTAATCGAATTGAATTGATATTTTTTTTGATAAAATAAAGAAAGAGGCCTATTGGCTAGTTACATACGGGACTCTTTGTCGAAAAGAAAAATTAAGCTCTCCGGTGGTTCATGAAATTCGTGGGGTCATTTGGTTGTTGTCATGCCAGTCTGATCAAACCATCGGTTAGTTTATTGCCTTCCCAAGGAATGTAGGAGAACGAGGTTTATCGTTATCTATTTAGTAGATCCGATATATGGTGGACAATTGTGAGTCTTCTGCCTCCCATACAAGGATTGGTTATCATTTGTATTGCTTCTTTGTAATTCGACTCTGCGCATATCCTTTTGTATCCTAGTTTTCATGCGTAGCTAAGGCCTTCATGGATGCCTCATAACTCCATCTCTAAGCTCGAATAAATGCCTATAAACATTGAGAATCCTATGAGCCACTTATTCAGTTCATCCCTGAGTAGGCTCCCACACGATGCTTCTTCATTTACAACGTTCCTTGCTCCATCTATGTTTACTTCAACCTAAATATTTAATATACTATATAAATTTAACCTCTTAATTTAAATCCGTTCTTGATAATTCATATAGAGTTTATTAAAAAAACTAATGTATCAAACCTGCAGGAAATTGCGCCAATCTCGTGATTTAGTTGATATTCATATCATGAAAAAAGAAATCCACGTCAAATGCCATTAATACCAAATAATTCACCCTGGCCTCCTGCATGCGCTAATCGTGTCTTCACCAAAAGCGACTTTTCTTTTGTCTCTTTTTCACAGTGTCGAATCCACCATTTTAACAACTCTCGAAAACGCCACCTTTTGAACTCTCGAAACTATAATCAATCTTTTATTTTTCTTTGAATCTCTGTGGAGAAGAAAAGGGAGAAATGGGAAGTAAAAAAGATTCAAAATCAGCGGTGAAAGAGGTGTTAGAATGGATATGGAAGCAACCAATGACGCTGAAGGTCTTACTTGCAGTGATGGTGTTGGTGTTATCTTTCACGGCATTTAAGCTCCTACTGAAAGATGATAATCACTTCTTTCTTGCCTCTGAGGTTACCCACGCCGCTGGGATTGTTTCTTTGATTTACAAGCTTACTACCAAGAAGACACGCTCTGATACATATTCCATGATTTTAACATTATTCTCCTGGTGATTATCAATAAATGAAGATTTTGTGTTTTCTTCTTAAGGGCTTTCGTTGAAGTCTCAAGAACTCACAGCGATGTTTTTAGCAGTAAGAGTAGTGTGCAGCTTCATGCTGGAAGGCGACATCCATACATTGCTGGATTTAGCTTTTTTTTTTTAGATAATTCGATTTTATTACCTAAAGAAGCATAAATATGCTACAAAAACAATCAGAGTTCTGATTTCATTTGATCACCCTACTTACAAAAACAAAAAACGATCAAACTATACCCAATGATTACAAAGAGTAATTAATATTAACACTATCAAGTCTATTTATATTCCTACCCCTTAATTGTATACCTACTATTTCTTTAATAGTATGAAGTATTACCTTTCCAAGCACCACAAGCCCAAACTAAGTGAGTCTCCCATGATGAGGATCTACTCTGCAAGCCATTAAGATTGAAGACTGCCTCCCATACAGAAGCAGCCAAAGGACACTCAAGGAACAAGTGGTCCCTTGTTTCCAAAGCAGCATTACAAAAAACACATTGACATTCGATAACAAGCCCCATGCGATGCAGCTTATCCTTTGTTGGAAGTCTATCAAGTAAAGCCATCCACACAATCAAACTATGTTTTGGGATATGGAGAGAAACCATATCAGTTTCTGCCATGGTATTTTAGTACCCTTCACTCTAATCACTTCCCAGATATCACCTACCTTTTTAGTTTCAGAAGACAGAACAGGAAAAGCCTCATACCTCATTTTAAGGATACGCCTTAAGCTCCAGTTAGTATTGATTCCAACTTCCAAATTCCAAAAATCATTTTCCTTGATAATTTAGCCACCTTTGTTTTCACTGCATGGCTTATATTCATGATTCGGTTCAAGCTGAAGTCCACCTACATCAAGGAGCTTGATAATTTTCCCCTCTACTGTATGATAATTGCAAAATTATTACAAGACGAAATACAGTTCATTGTGTTGCTAATTAGTAATTAATTCATAACATATACTTTATGATGTTATATATATATATATAATTTACAGGTGGTGCCCTCTGCCATACTTGCTGTGTTAATCCACCCACGAGGTTCTGATATGTACTTCAGTCAAGTTCTTTGGGCCTTTTTGTTTATCTGGAAGCAGTTTCAGTGAAGCCACAGCTTCGCATGATGCAGAATGCAAAGGTATACATTAATACATATATACCTACACACATGTATAAATAAGAGACCAGAATGTTAATTTCATGGTATTTTTCGATTTTACAGATGATCGAACCATTTACGGCCCATTATGTGTTTGCACTTGGTGTTGCCAGATTCCTCTCCTGCGGTAATTGGATTATTCAGGTTAATTTTTGTCTCCCTGCATAATCTGTGCTTGATACGTTCAAAACCTTCAAACTTGTTAATTTGAACTTTTGCTAATCATGATTATCGCATTAATGTTAACCGTTGCCATATATATGGTGTACGTAAGGTTTATGAGACAAGAGGGAGATATCTATTCTTGCTTGGATATGGCTACTTGTGGTTCCCCATGGCTATCCTTGCAGAAATTGTCCAAACATTCATCTTGGTCGACTTTTGTTACCATTATATTAAGAGGTCTGTCACTTTCCCGTCTCTTAAACCCAATGATTTCTTTCTCTATATATTTTATGCACTGTCGGTAGATAGACATATCAATATCAATTAATATAAATAGATGATCATATTGTTTATTTTTTTGGGCAGCTTTACGCAGGGCCAACTATTAGTCAGGATGCCAGTTTAGAGATTTTGAAATTAATGATAGGCAACGTGATGGACATACAAATAACTTTAATTCGTCTGTTTTGAAGTTTAATTCAAACAGCCATAACATACTTTTGTAGTTCACGTTTTCTGATATTTCTTGGAAGTGATTTGGATTGCCCATCTTAATTATTTTTATCTTCTCGTCATTATTAATATTTAAGAACTTGAATCAATAATTCTTAGAGTAAGTGGTCAAAAGTTCACAGAGTTTAATATTCATTAAGATTAAAATTATATTTTCCTCCCTTAATAAGAGGGAAATAAGAATTGTAAAATAAAAAATAACTCAGTAGAAAGTATGTGATATCAATTGCTTAAGAAAGTATGAACATATAATACCTTATAATCATTTTAAATTATTCAAAAAAAATAACAATATTTAAAACAATATATGATATACAAATTTGGATTGTAACAAATATAAAGTTATCATAATAATCTTATATATGACTGACAGTGAGTGAAAAACCACCTATAAATATTTTCTTCATATGATTAATTTTCTCTCACATAATAAAATTAATTAAATATAATTTTTTTATTGATTGTAATTTTTCACTCACCAATTAAAACAATGAACTGTGAATGACTAATGAGATTAAATTTGCTCCATCAACAATTGTAATCCAAGTTAATATTTTAATTTATTTACTTAAATAATAGTAAGTTAAGCTGTGAACGTTTTGAATAAAAACAGTTAAAATTTTCTCTCTTTTATTGTTAATTGCTGGCATAAATCAAATAACTCCACAAACGGTGAAGTAAAACAAGTGAAGAGGAATAGAAAGATTATTCTAATATTTTTAGCTATATTAATAATATAGGAATTTATTAAATAAACAAAATGCAGGTAACATTACTCATTAACCTTTTGGTGGATATGTTCCATCCTTATCACCATTCACCATCCATCGCCCTTTTGCTCCGGGAATTCTCGGTCTCACGAAGCTCGTGATGTTCTCTGCTTCGCCACGTGTTCTCCATGCGCCTCTTCCCTAAACTTTCAAACTTTGGTCCACAGGATCCCACGTTTCGCCGCATATCCCTAAACCCCTTTACTGTTCGCCACGTATCCCTTCATAACCAAAGGACTAGCACCACGTATGTGCTACGCTAGCCACACGGACCACGTCGATACACCCCCCCAGAAAGCTGCGAACGCAACTTGACCCGGAATAACCGGCGATTTGACCACACGACTTTAACGAATATTTATTTTTTGGCACCGTTTAATATATACTTTTCGAAATGGTACCATTTCGGTTGAACTGGCGAAAGACGCGTCTTCGGAGACGTGTTTTACCCGTATTTTCGCTGAGTTTGATGTCACGTGTGGAAGGCGCATCCCCGGGAACGCGCTTTCACTGATTCGATTGCTACGTGTGGAAAGCACATCTCCGAGGACGCGCCTTCTATTAAATGCCATAAATGTTTCCATCCGTTTTTCCTAACTACCCCATCCTCCACTATATAAATCCCCTTAAACCTCCCTCATTCTTTACACCAAAATCATATTCTCCTCTCTTATATAACTCAAATTCTCCAACTATTTGAGTTTTAAATTTGTTATTAGTGGTAAGAAATTTATTTTTATGTTAGTATTTTTTTAAATAGTTATTATATTTTATATTAATATATTTATGTAAATATTATTTTTTTATTAAAATAATATTTATATAATTATTATTTATTTAGAATTATTAATTTTTTGTGTGATAATTATATTGTTTTGTCTACAGTTATAATGGAAAACGAAATGCTGTTGCGATTGGATATTGATCATATCTCCAGACATTTTAGCGATATAATAATATTTTTTATAATTAATGTTAAAATTTAAATTTATTTTTATTTTAAAGTTATTATGAATTTATATTAATTTTTATTTTTTATAATGTATATTATTTAGGATACTGATCGTATTTTAGAGACTTTTATTAAAAATCCACGCATACCGACACCGGAACATATTTTGCCATATTTAGCTTCTGTCGGGTTCGGGTATATTGCAACAATTATTGACAGTTGTAAACTCGAACATGTCCTAATTTCTGCACTGATTGAGAGGTGGAGGTCCAAGACACACTTTTCACCTTCCATGTGGAGATGCCACAATTACATTGGAAGATGTCTCTATGCATATGAGGCTTCCCGTCGACGAAAATATTTATTTAATATAATAATTAATATTATTAGTTATAATTTTTTTTAAAATATAATAATAATTCCACCTTAGAAGAGAAAAATATTAAATTAAACAAATTAAAAGTTATTAAAAAAATTATGTATACAATGACACATTTCATGTTCTGATTGGAGGATTAAATTTATTAAATTAAATTTTCAATAAGACTAATTTCATAAAATATGTAAGTCTTGAAGATTAAATATGTAATTATACTAATTTATTAATTTATGCATCAATATTTTTGTTAAATATTGATAAGAGATGACTAGATTAATAACATTTAAATAATTAACTGATAAAATTAATAGATCGATAATCAGAATAAAAAATAATAATATAACCATATGTGTAATATTATAATTTCATACATTTTTCTATAACTACAATAAAGTCAAAACTGATTTTCATATATTGTTCTATCATATTAATGTAAATAATTCACTCCACCTTTAACAAACATTTATAAAATACATTTGATAATTCTTACATTATAATCGAAACACTTTACATAATATATTATTAATTTATAATAATAATAAAAATAAAATATTTATTATTAAACAAAATACGTGGCAGTCGAGCTGGCGAAAGGCACGTCCCCGGAGATGCGCCTTCCACACGCGACATTTAACTCAGCAAAAACACGGGTAAAGCACGTCTCCGGAGACACGCCTTTAAACCACTCAGCCGAAAGGATGTCACTCCAAAAAATATATAATAAACTGTGTCAAAAAGATAAATATTCGTAAAAGGTCAGTTTGGTCAAATAGCCGGAATAACCGATCCAGCTGTGTCGACTTGAATTCCATCGCGAGTCGGGATCACGATAACCAACAGAGGGCCTACCTCTCGTAATTGCACGCGTTTCGTACCTCAGAAGCAGCCACGTTGCTTCCGATTCCTGTGAATTCTGGCAAAATAATTGAATGTTTGAATAGAACGGTCGAGATTCGTGCAGACAAGGAGATCTAGCACCACGTGTCCGTATAATGGCAGAGGTGTTCATAAAGTACCTACGCTACCATAGCTGTTTCTGACTCATCACCAGCTCTTCGTGCATATATATGCCACGCGTCATTCCCTGAGACTCATCATCGACTCCTAATCCCAATTTCTCTTCTTAGCGATTTGCACCAAATTCAAAAGAAAAGGAAAATCATATACGCATAATTTTGTAAACCGAAGCAAGCATTTTAAAAAGAAGATAATAACTAAAAGATATGAATATCTTATTTTTATTTTTAGTAAAATTTACTGGAAGGTTCATTAAAAAAAGTCAATTGCAAAGAATTTCTTCACGTTACAGCTTAGATTTTAGATTGGTATTTCAATTGTAAAATATTTTAATTATATTCTTAAAATACAATATTATGTCACTGTATTGCTAGATGGATTAAACTAAAGGCCCGATCTAGATTGATAAAGGATCTGATTGATGTTATGTTGCTTTTTCAAAAATATAATTATAATATTTAAAGATTTAGCTACCAAAATAAATATTATTCTACAGTTTGAGGACTTTTAAAAAATTAACCCAAAAATATATTACTAGAATCAAATTGTTGAAACGTGTCATGATGTGATGGATGGACACCAAATTGGCAGAAATTCGAGGGCAGAGAACTTCCAATCCCGCCAATTATGTCCAAAAACACTCTTACGTGTCAACACCAGTTCTTCATCTCCCCTTCTCCCATATCGCCACGTGGCCTTCCTCTTCCCTTTTATCTCCCCTGAAAATCTAAATTCAAGCAAAGAAGCCATATAAAAGCAAGTATCCCTACAAAATGAGTACAATCTTGATTGTTTTTTATATATATATTTTTTCGATTCTTCATTTGTCACATGAGGTTTTAGCAAGAATCGTTGTTGTTGTTTTGGAGCAATTTGAAATGGAAAACAACTGTGGGATAATGGGGTTAAGAGAGGATGAAATTGAGCTAGACCTGGGATTATCGATCGGAGGAAGCTTTGGAAAAGCCGATAAACTAAAGCCCATAAAAAACGATTCAAAACCCAGCAATAACACCGACGCAGATCTCGGAGAAAGCGTTGGTTTTGACCCCCAAACGAAACTTGAGGTTCAAGCTTTGAGGCGACAAGAAGCGAGGAAGAAGAGAGAACACAAGCAGCAAAAGAGAGGAATATGTCACCGAAGCGGCGAGTTTCAAAGCAAAGACAATGGTGCCGGTCCAATGGAAGAAAGGGAATGCAAGAAATCCAGAGTTGAAGAGTTTTCTGGTAACGTAAATCCTAATTCCAGCGGCGAGCTGAATAACCCGTTCGTATGTCCGGTAATCCCGGTACGGGTCCCGGGCCCGTATCCTCAGATCCAGTTCGTGCCGCTCGCCAATTGGTTTGGGTATTCTCGCGTAAATGCAGTGCCTTGTTGGGGCGGTGTAGCTGGGAATGAGAACGGCGTTGTGCAACCGCTGGCGGTGGCTGTGAATGGCGGGTTTCCGTCGTTTCAGACGCCCCGGGATTCGGGTCTGAATGGTGTAAATGGATATTATTCAGAACAGAATAGTAGCAGAGATGAACGGAAGAGGAAAACAGGCTCCAACAGGTCAACCATATGTAGTTCCTCAGCTGGTTCGGATCTTCATAGCTCTTCTAATCAAGGTACGTCATTTGCCTCTTTTATGCAAATATTATGTTATAATGTTTTAAAAATGTAAAATGAATCATATGATGTTTATCAATACTCTGCATTTGTTCTTATATTTTGTTTCCCTTCCATTTTCAGGTGGTTGCAGCAGTGAAGCCGAAGCCCCCGCTCCACAAATAAATTGTTCAGTGGCAAGCAATCCAAAGGGCCAATCTGAACAAAGTGCTACTTCTCACCAAACGGACTCCGCACAAAGCATTGATAAATCCAAAAAAGGCATCGAAAAAACACCTTCATCGAATCCGAAGAAAGAACTCAAACCCCAAACCGATTCCGATGTTGATAGCAAACCTGTTTCCTCAAACGAAGCTGCAACAACCACAACCACTTTCCCAAAAGATACCAAGGGAAAGCCTCCTAGGCCTCGAATTCCACCTCCTACCAACGACCACGTCCTTTCCCTTTGGAACTTGCCTTGCGTCTCCACGACGGGCAATGGCCCCAATGGTAGAACCATCAATGGTTTTCTATACAAATATACGAATTCCGAAGTCAGCATCATCTGTGTCTGCCATGGTACTTCATTCACCCCGGCAGAGTTCGTCCAGCATGCTGGTGGTACCGATGTTTCGCATCCTCTGAGACGCATTACTATGGTTCCCACCGCTTTTTAGTTGAAAGACAACAAATGTATAGCCATGTGCCTGATTGTTCTGCCTGTTTTCTAGACCATATTTTTTTTCTAGGGCAAAACGGCTTCTAACAGCATTAATTGACAAGACGATTGTAGGTCATTTTCTTGATGTGTTGTTTTCTTTTAATTTGTGCAGTTTCCTTCATGGCAATCTTGTTTCATTTTCCGGTGCTTTTGATGCACTTTTCAGATTAGGGTAACGGAATTCTATTGGTTAATTCTGCTCTTTGCCGGCAAGTTGATCAACAGATAGTGACAACTAAAACATCGATTCAAACAAAGAGTAGAGTAGTGGGCAATAGGATAGGAGGAGGGGAATCAAACTTGTTTGCAACGCCTGGTGTTGTTAGTTGACGCAGTGTATTATAAACCCGATACGGACCCCAATAGGCCAATACTTTGGTGCGACGGGAAACCGCACCATTTGAATGTTTTTAATTATTAAAAAAAAACCAATAATTTAAAATAGATGGTTAAAAGATTCAAGATTAACACCTCTCTTTTCTCCTAAATTATTAATACTCATTAGAAATAAAAAAATATCTTTCTCCCTCCCTAAGTGAGAAACTTAAAAAAATAGATTTTAATACAATTCAATATTCTTTAAATTTAATTTTTAATCATATATATATATATATATATATATATATATCAATGCATAACAAAATTAGTTTGAAAATTATGTGAAATTGTTTTTTTCATAATTCTACATCTAACCTTTTATTTTAGAATTTCCCTTTTATCACCTAACCCAAAAATTTTAGACTAAATTATTGTTTTCTATAATAATAAATTAATTAGAATAATTATAAAATTAATAAAAATAACTTATTAAATTAGGTCTGATAAAGGATTTTAAAAAATCAATTAAATAAACATATAATGACTTCTAAATTTATTCATGTGTCATGATTATAAACCACTCATATAAAGTAATATTTTCTATAATTATTTATCATTTATACATAATATATAATCACAGTTATTTATAATAATTTTTTTGAATAATATTTGATAATTATAATATGATATATATTCATAATCTTTTTAACCTAATAACACATATTTTATAGATATAATTTTTCAAATTTTGAATTTATAAAAAATAATATTTTTTCTATTAGTAAAATTACTTGATAAGTTTATATGTAATAAAAATTAATTAATATTATACGCATTTTAAATAATAAATATAATATGACAAGAGTTTATCATTACAAAATAAAGATAGAAAACGTAATAATATAGATTAGATTTATTTGATATTGTTAGGGGGTATAAGTACCAAAACCTTGTTGCAGCAGTCTTTCCTTTTGCTGGCGCCTCTTCAAGATCCACAAAAACCCTAGAAACCGCCAAACTTTCTCAACAAGGGGAGGTGAGAGAAAGAGCCACCAACGCAAAAGAAGAAAAGATCAAGAATTCACTCTCATCTCTTTTTTCTTTGCGATCTGAATCTAAAAGCTCAGGTAAATAACCTCATTGTCAGCTATTTCTATACTTCATTTTATAGTATATTTTTCCTGGATGATTCTATTTCTCATTCAGATCAATTGCCAGTGCTCAATCTTTAGATTTAAGAGATGCTTTACAGGAAAAACTACAATTTGAAATTTAACTGCAACATTTGTGTTAAACTGTTGAATCCACTAGGATTTCGCTGAATAATTTTCCCGGAAGTTCTTTTATGATACATTTTTTTTGTTCAAAACACTTTGTTCGCTCGGTAGGTAGTTATGTTGGATGGTTTTGTGGTTCCCCCGGGGGAATCTATTTTCGATATCTGTTTCTTGTCTTGCTACTTAAAATTGTGGTTAGAGTTTTGCGTACTGCTTTCAATTTGCCTTTGTTGATTTGCAGGTTACAATTAGTGAATGGCATCTACACAGCAAGTCCCTGCGGGAATTACAGCTCCTGCTCCTGATGTTGTATGTTTTCCGTTTGTATTTGGATGTTTTAACAATGCACTCAAAATTAAGTTTCAATCTCTATTTTTGGTGATTTTAGGTTGGGAATGCATTTGTCCATCAATACTACCTTATCTTACATCAATCTCCTGAACTGGTTCACCGATTTTACCATGATAGTAGTAAACTTGGTCGACCCGAAGAAAATGGCATCATGAGTATCACGACGACTATGCAAGTGAGGTTTCTCTATCTATATTTGTCATGCATCTGTGCTCATCTTGATTCGAACTTTCAAATTAAGGATATGGTTCATTATCTTTTAATTTTGTTTGCTTCTTTGTTTTCTTGCTGTAGTCCAAGCCTACATTTGGAAACCACATTTCCTGCTCTTTTGAAAGCTATTTATTTGTAAGTTTGGATTGTATAATTGATTTGTGGTGCTTCTTTTGTGGACCAGGCCATCAACGATAAAATAATAGCACTTGGGTATGGAGAATTCACAGCAGAGATAACAAGTGTGGATGCACAGGACTCTCACAGTGGAGGAGTACTTGTTCTTGTAACTGGTTATTTAACTTTAAAGGACAAAGTGGGGCGGAAATTCACTCAAACTTTCTTTTTGGCTCCTCAAGACAAGGGCTATTTTGTTTTAAATGATATGTTTAGATACGTTGATGATGGCATACAGGAAAGTGGGAGCCAAGATCTAGTTAATAATAGTGAAACCTCTCTCGATCCTGAGAAAGGTGATTGGTAACCCATAATACCATCTGAAACACAGAATTGTAGTGATTTCCTCCTATTGATGTAAATGGTTGTCTGCAGATTCTTCACCTGCTTTGGAGAATCACATTGAACAATTGGAACCATTTCCAGAAGAAGCTAATGGCCAATTGTGCAATCCTTCTGAGGATGGTGATGGTTCTAATGAAGAAGAGGAAGCACCAGTGGCCGAGGTTGTCGATGATTCACAGATGGTTGCTGATTCTAACTCCAAGATCGAGGAAGTGCCAAAGAAATCATATGCATCTATTGTATGTATTAAGTAGCATTCTGCTGCGTTTTGACTTGAGTTGGTATTGGTTCTGGATATAGTTTGTGTTTTAAGCTAATAGTTTTAACTTCATCTATTATTGCTCTAGCTGAAGGTTGTGAAGGAGAATGCAATCCATGTATCAATCCCTACACATTCCCCTGTGAAGTCTTCAGCAAAATCTCATGAGCAACCAAGATCTGCTGCACCACCAGCTGCTCCTGCAACAGTATCCGATTCACAAGTTTCCAGCAACAATGGTGTAGAAAATGAGAATAATCTAGATGTGGAAGGTATACACTTTTTTTTTTCATGCCTGCACAATTTTCAACTAGTTAACATGCAATTTATTTCATATATGTTTTTTTATATATATTTTTTCTTTATGTCTATGTGCCTGTGAATCATCTGCTCAAATATACTTTTTTGATCAATGCACAGCTGAAGGTCCCTCTATCTACATCAAAGGTTTACCTTTGAATGCTACACCTAGCATGCTGGAGAATGAATTTATAAAGTTTGGACCTATTAAGAGTGGTGGTATTCAAGTTCGAAGCCAGAAGGTAAATGTTGGCTCATTTTCCACTGTTAGTTTTTGACTGTGCATTCAACTAATGTATTCTCTCTATTTCTCTACAGGGTTTCTGTTTTGGTTTCGTGGAATTCGAAATGGCAAGTTCTGTGCAAAGCGCTATTGAGGTATTTATCATTTTTTTCTATGTTGATCTTTTCATTATTTTCGTAATAATGCATTTTGTTACGTACTTAGAGATCTGTTGGCACTGGGTTGCAACAAGGTCTGCAATTCTGAACTTGCCTTTGCCCAAGCAGACATTACAGGTTTTGCTTCAGCTTATGGCAGGATTTCTAATTTAATCTCTCAAATATCACTTGAATAAAGTTATGATTGTGCCTAGATTTTAAGTGAATCTTCTGTTATTTTGTTGGAAATGCTGTTTTTTTCTAGTTGTTACTAGAAATGAGGAAAAAGGTGTTGGTCTATAATGTCTATAGATAAATATGGTGTGGACTCTAGTTGTGTAGTGCAAGGGTGATCCATGCCTTCATATGTATAAGACTAGAAGCTTGGATGTGGATTACCTCTGATAAGTTAAAGAAACATCAGGATTTGGTAGGGAAACTCGCTTGTAGAGACCAGATAAGGGATCCTAAAGCTTATTAGTTCCTCTGGTTTGGTGGTAAAAAAACAAGAAATGTATTTTAACATCTCTAAGTTATAAGATTTAAAATAAATTTCTTTTAATAAATATTTAAAATCATTTAAAGAATGACAGAAGCTTCATTGGAACATTGATGATACCAATGTTTTTCAAGGTGCTAAGACCTTCATATTGGCTGAGGCACAAAAGCCCAAAAAAGCACTTGCCAGAATAAAATGAGGTGCGCACAGACACACATATACAACACATACGTATAATCTATATTAAAAATTTTAGATTATAGATAAATAATAAATATATTCATATCGTGTTTACTAACCTTTATAAATTCGCCCTGCCTGAGTGTAGATGAAGTGCTAACTCTTATTTTTGCTGTGCCCATGTACCTAAGTGCTTGCCTTGACAACCTTGTGTGATACCTGTAGAGTTTAGCCTAAATTATCTTCTGCTGTCAATATGGAATTGCATTTCAAACATTAGGCCTGCATTCTTGCATTAAAAAAAAACAGATTTTTTGTTTTTTGGGTTTGATCATTCTTTTTCTTTAAAATCTGTTTATCCTGTTGATGGTTTCAATTTTAACTTAATCCCTGATTTGACTTTTGATGTTATTCTCCAATAGCAAAGTGAGAGGCTTACCAAAGGGAGTGGTTTATTGTTACTTTTTTCTTATTTGTTTTTTTGGTGCAATACATTTACATTTTTATTTTTTCTTCAAACATCTTTCAGGCTTCTCCTATTAATATTGGTGGGCGTAAAGCAGTTGTTGAAGAAAAACGATCAACTTCTCGAGGTAAGTTACTTTTATTTTTAACTAGAGTTTATACTAAAGTGGTCTGGCATGATTCAGTGAAAATGTCCGTAGTAGTAGGTTTCTAACATGGTAAACCAATTCATGATTATTAGAGAAATTAGAATTGAGCTTTTCTCATATATGATAATTGGATTCTTAGGTTAATGTTGAGACATTGTTTCTCTCGCACAACTTATGAAATCTGCTGTTGTTGGCATGAGACTGATGTGGCCTTGTTCAGATGAAAAATGATAGTTTAATGAGACAAATTTTGCAACATGGACTATTTTTGCATGAGACTGAAAAACTTGTGGACATTTTTGCATGTTATAATAGGACTGTTTTTCATATGCAGGTAACAGAGGTCGGTCTTCATCTGGATCTAGGGTTGGATACAGAAATGAGGGAGCAAGAGGGCGTGGAAACTACAATGGTGGAAGGGGCTATGGCCGGGGTGAGTTTGGTAATAGGAGCAACAATCGAGGAGGATATTTCAACCGGGGAGGTGATGGATATCAGAGGGGTGAGCACATGGGAAATGGTAATGGTGGCCGTGAGAGTCGCACTGGTGGGCTAGCCAAGAATGTAGCACCAACTTTATCTGCCCCTGCTTGAAGAAATTAATTTAGGAGTTGTCCGCAGAATGGCAAAAGATTTTAGATTTGGGTTTACAGGGTAGTTAGCAGAAAGAACTCAGTTTGCTTTGCGATGAGATTTGTCAATGAGGGTTTATAACAAAGAAGGGTTTTGGGTGGTCGTGCATGGTAGATTAAATTCTTGTTAACTGAGCTACTGTTATTGTTCAGGCTTTTCGGGGCACATTTACCTTTGTTGCCTTGTGGACAAGATGCATCTGCAACAAAATTTTGTTGATGGAATTTCATTTAACACCTCATCTTTGTCATCCTTATTAATTATGGGAAAATTGTGTAACGTAATTAGTTCCTCTTAACCTTTGTGGCTCCTAATAATCTAAATCCATGGCATCCTTTCTTCCCATGCCTGCAGGTACCAGGGTGCAACCATCCAACTCAGACTCATCCCCATAATCATGCAGTTGTAACCTTTCTTTCCTTTCTTTGAGCACCTTTTTATTTCTGCCTTATTGGAATCAGTCTCCCAAGCCAGTTACATCCCTCACCTTCATCATGTTGTTCCACAGTTGTCTCTCTAAAAGCTTGCATGCCAATGTCCTTTTCCTTGATTTTTGGTACTAGTATGTCTGTGAGATATCCTCGACTTTCAGCGCTGTTATTAGCTTTCACTAGCCAGTGACGGAATCAAACCCAATATTTTCGTTTAATGATAATCCAAGTCTTGTCAATTTTATTATAAGATAAATTAACTTTTGCTCCCCTTAAAATTTGGGCGTTTCACCCGAAAAATCACTTTAATCCTATATATTTTCTGATTAGGTACTGTTAAGATTATATTTTTTGATCTAACACCCTTTGCAGGAAGATACACCCCTAAATCGCGCTTTACGTCACATGCTAATTTTATAAATATTTTTAAATGAGTGCCAAATATGTCATTAATTTATATTATGGTGACATTTGTGTAAAAACGTCAGCATTAATTGTGCACATAACATGCACGGTTCCAGATTGTGCACAGCTCACACCGCATAAGTTTATTTTTTATAATAATAAATATTTTATAATTTTAAAAATTATAAATTTCATTTATTTTTGAAAAAATTATTGTTTTTTAAAATTAATTGTTTAAAAATATATAAAAAATATTAAAATAAACTTTTAATTATAATTGAGTGATCAAATGAATTATTATTCATTAATTTTTATTTTTTAACAACAGTTAATAATGTTTATTCATTTTTAATAAATTGTGCACAGCTCACCCGCACGGTTCCAGGTTGTGAACTGACTAGGGTCTTATCACAAGTTAATGAAGTGGACAATGTATGTAGTGGTTGAGTTTATTAGTATTTTAGTGTGTAATAAGTTTATTTTTATAATAATAAATATTTTATAATTTAAAAAATTATAAATTTCATATATTTTTGAAAAATATTATTGAATAATAATTCATTTGAACCATCAGTTGTAATTAAAAATTTATTTTAATATTTTTTATATTTTTAAACAATTAATTTTAAAAGGTAATAATTTTTTTCAAAAATATATGAAATTTATAATTTTTTAAATTATAAAATATTTATCATCATCATCATCATTTTTGTAAAAGAAATACTAGTTATAAAACTTTTATAAAATTATTCATATTTTAAAATACTTACCCTCAAAGTTTTTATATACTAGATTATACATATTGTGTAATTTTAATGCAAAATTTTAAATAATTTTATTAAAAATGAATAAACATTATTAAATGTTGTTAAAAATAAAAATTAATGAATAATAATTCATTTGATCCCTCAATTGTAATTAAAAGTTTATTTTAATATTTTTTTATATTTTTAAATAATTAATTTTAAAAGACAATAATTTTTCAAAAATATATGAAATTTATAATTTTTAAAATTATAAAATATTTATTATTATAAAAAATAAACTTTTGCGGTGTGAGCTGTGCACAACCTGGAACCGTGTGGGTGATCGGTGCATAATTCAAAATCCTGATGTTTATACACAAATGTCACCATAATATAAATTAATTACGTATTTGACACTCGTTTTAAAATATTTACAAAACTAACACACGAGTTTTTTACACATTTAGTAAGGCACGTCCCGAGGCCGCGCCTTCGACCACGTGGCGTAAAGCGCGGTGTAGGGAGCGCGGTGTAGGGGGCGCCTTCCTACAAAGGGTGTTAGATCAGGAAATATAATTTAAACGGTGTCTGATCGGGAATATTAAATGGAAAATGTGATTTTTCGGGAGAAACGCCTAAAATTTGAGTTTAAATGCTTAAATATGTTATTATATTTTTTATGTTTAGTGATTTGATTTCTTCTAATGTTTGTTCTTGATTTAACCTTTCCTTTCAAATCACCTTTTATTAAACTCAATTCTTAGTGATTAACCTTCTTATGAAAATGATTTTTTTAAAATTAAATTTATTTCTTTCATAACAAAATAAATCGAATTTTCTTTATAATTCCACGTATTTTAATGAAGAAATTCAATTGAGGCCGTTATTTGTGTTGGGCTTTGAGGTTCACATTTAATTATTATTGGGCTTCCCCTATATATTTATACCTCTGTAGATATTTACCAGTAAAATAATTATTTTATTTTGTCCCTCTCTAAAATTAAAATCATGCAAAATAATTATATTTTATAAATGACGAGATAAATTGAAATGGAACAATATCTACGTTCATCCAGTATTTACCAGTTTTACTTTACAATCGACTATTCATTTGATCGTAGCCGTCCGATTCATTAAACCACGTGCCTGTCACCACACAAGACCCCAATCATCTTTCAACTTTTTTGACAACCAATCAAAATTGAACCTGAAAAGTCAAACCATCGTGCGGCTAGGCACGTGTCGTTCGGTACAATTAAACAAATAAACGACATGTGTGAACGGAGTTTCACGTGTTTTGTACGGTAGGCTGGTTTAATAATCTCCTTGGAGGATCAAAGTTTTCACTTTGGTTTAATTTCCTCATCTTCTAATAAAAAATATTGTTTTTATGTTTAATTCTATTTATAGCAATCGCTTGAGTATGCCTTCGTTATCATTATTGAGTCGTTAATTATCATATTTATATGAACTCGTAAAGTGATTTTAATAATAAAATTGAATGCTATTATTTTAGTTTAGTTTACACTATTTGTAATTATTATTATTTAGATCTTCGATTTTATTTATGAAATCTAGTATACAATCCCTTTAAACTAACTAGTTGTTCGTTCAATTTAATATAAAATTTAATTAATTATCTAACAAAAATTAAGATCCAACTTCAATTTATCTGGACTTAAAAAAGATTAATAACTAAACCTTGGAAAGTCAATCAACATTTTATTTTTGTTACGTTAGATTACAAAGTTGGCATCTAAAAATATATTTTTTACATTAAAAATATGATTAAGTCTTTTAAAGAAGAAAATGGCTTGAAAAGACATAATAACGCGTGCTAAATTTCCATAGCTTGAAAATAATAGAAAAGTCTAGAAAATATCTTAATATTAGAATTTATGAGTTTGAATGTGTTTTAAGATATGATTCTATCATGAATATAGTTTTATTTGGAAATATATTACCCTCTTATATTATAGTGTGGTCTAATGTTTACTTTATTAACTATATAAGTTTTCCAATTATCTTTGCACTATCATTTTATTCTCAATTAATCCTATGTATTATTATGTCTTATAATTACTTTCATGATATTTTTCTTGTAACTTTTAATCGGAACACATATTTTTTAATGAAAAATACCTTCAAAATAACGGGTAAAACGAAATGATAATATTAGATCAAAGTGAAAATTGTTATAAAGAACAATATAGAAAACCTTTGAAGTTATAAATATAATTATAAATATAAATAACATTCATGTCAATAATTATCATAACGATTAAGCATCAGAAAACATAATAAGATGAATAGAGAATTGTTAGTTAGAATAGATAAATATATAGCATGAGAAATCCAGATAATAAAGAAGGGGAAATGCTTATAGGGTTGGGGTTGGCGGGACATTATCCACAGCGGTAGCTATGCTTATTTGCCATTGGCAGACCGCCCCACCTATCAGCTCATCGTCGGTGCCCTTCGCTCATTACCAACCCTATTTAATAATTTCTTTCTATTACCTCCTTCCATTACTACCCCTTTGCTTTGCCTTTAACCCGCCACGCTGTCCTAAACTTTTGTGTATAAAAAAAAAAAAATAATATATTATAATCATACTAAATTACTAAAAAAACATATAATTATGTAACGTGTCTTACTTTTATTTTTCCGAATTGTCCTTTTGATATTCCTTATGAAGCTCTTTTTTTCCCTTCTGACAAATGAATAGATAAATAAAATTAATTATTGTTTAATTAAGCTCCTTTATCTTGATGAAAACTATATACTTTTTGAGAAAAATATACATGAGAACTTATAACTTTTGAGGTAGTTATCAGAAAAAAATGGATAATAGTTTTAGTAAAATGTAATTTTTTAAAATACACTAGAGTTAAATTATGTAAATATTCTTTATTGTATTAATAGTTAATATTTAATTTATTAATTAAATTGATATCATATTAATTCATAATATTATATCTAATCAAATATTCATCCAATATCAAAACGTACCAACTGACAAATGAGAATCTTTTTATCAAAATATATCTTATTAAAATATAATAGCTTAAGAGTATATAAGATTCTCAAATTAAAAAAAAAACTAAATTAATTTTATGAATAGGTTTTTTAGTTAATTACATCTTTATATCTTAAAATTTTATCAATTCATCCTTTTCATTATGCTAACTATTAAATTTAATAATATTTTGTTAATTTTTAAATATTTTTAAAATTTTAATATATATTATTAAGAAAATCTATAAATTTACGTAACAAAAATACCATGTGTCACATAATAGTAATATATTAAAAACTAAGGTTCTATAATCAAAATTGTTCAATTTTTTTTAATTAATTCAATTTCTTGATTTAATGATTGAATTGAATTAATTTACTTATTTGAAAATTTAATTAAGTGCATAAAATTCAAAAAATTGTATTTAGTTTTTTAAAAATTTAGAGGGCCCATACACCTTTAAACCATTTTATTCAGATAAATCTTATTCTTTGTGGCATCAAAATAAAATCTTATATTATAATTTATATATCCAAATAAAAAATTAATTAAAAAATTCAAAGTGAATCCCTTATAAAGATAAAAGCGACCTAAGAGAGAGATGGTATTTAGGAAAAAGAGGGGTAAAATGGGAATCATACGGTACACAAAACACAAGCATAAGTTCTCTCGTTCATATTAATTCAACATTCTCTCTCTTTTTCCACAAATACTTGGCCTTTGGCTTGGCTGTTGGCTTTGTTTGATTTTTCTTTTTGCCCCTTACACCATTAGCAGCTTCACGACCCTTTGATAAAAATGGGTTTTAACTAAAAAAACTCGGGGGGAAATTTAACATAAAAACAAACAACAAAAGGTGGTAGATGCATGCGCCACCACCACAAGACCAACTTCTTAAATTCACTCTTTTGCTACTTCTTTCACTATCTTCCTCCATTCTTTTGTATACAACAATCAATCCTCAGATTTCTTTTGCCAGGTTTTGGTTTTAATCCTTAAAAAAGAAACCTTTTCTAAATCTCCTCGGTTTCTACGCTATCTCAACCATCACCTTTGCTTTTCCCTTTCTCAGGTACCAAACAATTGATGAAAACAACGACTTTTCTTTCGTTTTATTTATTTTGTTTATTTATCTTTTTCTCTGTAATGGTTTCTTTGCCTTTCCTGGTCATGGAGGCATGACCATTTTTTCGCTTTGATTGGCTTAAAGAAGGCTTTGGCTTTGTGGGTTTCTTTTTCTCTTTGTTGTGTGTGTGTTTTGGGTGTTGGGTTTTTTGTTCTCTTGTGTTTTTTACTGCCTTCGCTTCCATGAAAGGTGGTAGGTTAGCGGGGCTGACTTGTTTTCCAGGGGAGTTGGGATTTTCATTAGGCAGACTCAGTGGACAGCTTTGTTAGCTTCACATGATGGGAGTTTTGGCTTTACTTTATGCAAATTATGATGAATTTCTCTCTCTCTCTCTCTCTTAAATGAAAACGAAAACTATTGTTGAACTTTGCGTCATCTTGCCCCCTTATCCGGAGCCTGGTTAACTTTTAGAAGTGAATACCATTTCAATAGGGGTTGAGGGTTGACTGAAAACGTTTCATGTGATTTGCGTTGGTTTGTTCATATTATTTTTCTGAAATTTCATCTGTTAAAGATTTCTGTTTTACCAGCATCAAGTCTATTGTTTTCCAATCCGTGCATGGACTTTAGATTTAACCCCTAGCTTCTCTATGTAGCATTATTGAAATCGAAATCGAACGTAAGTGTTATGAGAAAATAGTTGGTTTTCAGCCTACCGAATAGAAGTATGTATGGTTGATATTTGATAACAAAAAAATGATAAACATCTGGGAGTTTCATCCGGCAATTCTATTTTTACTTGAATTTCTTGTCTAAATTGCTTAGGAGCATCATCAAGTTACTTGCATTGACCCGTAGTTTTGAATTTTGATGGGCTTCCTTGTATCTCTTGTCCTTTTTCTCATTTTGCTTTATAGCTAAGTAGAATAGGTGATATCTTAGTTCCTGTTTACTTATCTTATGAAGCTGTGTCCTATATCAGCCTTCTGGTTTAACTTGCCATCCTTGTCATTTTCTAATATGTTCTTTATTGTTCATCATTTTCTAATTGCTTAATCCACTTATAAATCTCCCATCTTTGGTAGCCTTAGGGGCACGGGCATACAGATTGATGCAAAGGACGATCTATTTAGCCATTGTTCACTGATTAAAAGGTTGTCAACATGGTGAGCTTACGCAGACGCAGACTCCTGGGACTCTGCTCTGGTAAACTGTAGTTGAGATGCACTTTATCTTGCACGTAATTAATTGCTTCTATCGATATCAATGTGTAGGAACATTTGCCATATCATGTTATATAAAGTGTGCCCTTCAATTGTTTGCCTCAGTATTAAGTAAAAGTTCTAAATTATGATCGAATAATGTCATTCACGAAATTTGATGACCATTTGTAGGGAAGAGTTCCTTTTTGACTCCACTTCCTAAATTTTTTGATAATGGAAATGCCTCTGAAAGTTCAAGCCAAAATGCAAAATCAGTTAGTGTGCATTCCATGCCCTCTGATTCTATCAACCACATGCAATGGGTAAGATTGCATTATTAATCAATTGACCAGGTGTAGTATTAAATGGTTTCACTTTTAATTAGCTTCTTTGTTGTGGCAGTATCAGTTGTTTGTATTACTATTTCTTTTTCCATTGTGTATGAACATGGCAGCTTGCTGATATTCTTTTTACCTTTTTTTCCCTTGGCCATGTATGTGATTCTAAGGATTCCTTTGCCAGTAAGAAGAAATGAAAAGGATATGACAAATTAATGAATTGTGGATGCTTGGTCAGTCCATTGCATCATGGGGCACCCTTTCTTATTAGAAAAAACCTTGTTTACTAGGTCATGGTTCCCTTTTGAGATTGAATTATAGGATAAATAGTCAGTTGTCAACTACAAATGGTATTTAACAACTGTTTGCATTACAGAATCTGTTTTATTGTTTGTGGAAACCCTTTGCTGTTTTGAATTTTTAATCAATATTTTTTGCTTTTTTAGTTTATTTAATTGGCACGCATGCAAACAGAGATTCATAATGAATATATTAAGGGGTTGTGATTCAGACTCTGAAGTTCATGATAGATAAATACCAAGTGGCATGCATTGTTTAATTCTGTCCTTTACTTCAGAATTACACTTAAATGTAACTATTTAATGCTCTCTCAGAAAAGCATTGCTAAGGTTAGCTGTGGATCACCAAACATCTCTGGTTCTGGTTCATCAAAAGAGCATCATAATCAACCTTTTTCGGGTTTGTATCTTTGGAAACACACGCTCCATATGTTCGTTAATATTGTCAAAATTGAAAATTTTACTTGTCTATGGCTTCTTGTTGGCTTCTTGCCGCTTCTGATAAATGACATGTTTGACATAAATAGAGGCAGTTTCAGGAGGAGTCGGTGTTTAACTTTTACCCCTTTTTTGTTAGAATAAAGCTGAACTTATGTATATCTCGGAGCTGAGTCAATGCTGTGCCGCTTCCTTATTAAACATGTAGTTTACTCATTAGAGTCAAAGTCTGATGCTATGAGCCGATTTATTTTTTACATTTTGACTGATGGCTTTGTAAAATGTATAATCTGTAGAGCAACCGATCAAACGAAGGAAGCGACACAGAAGGAAGCATGTTTCAAATCAAGAACCTTGCTTAATGAGGGGTGTATACTTCAAAAATATGAAATGGCAGGCTGCGATAAAAGTTGACAAGAAACAGATTCACTTAGGCACTGTTGGTTCACAAGAAGAAGCTGCCCGCTTATATGACAGGTAATAAATTAGCTTTTATCTTTCTTGTAATGATTGCTACTGCAACTTCTTCAGAAACTCATCACTATATGTAATCCAAGTATTGCTCAACTTTTAACCTTTAAACTTTATATATTGTTGTCTGATATGAACATGTCGTTTTCATTTATTTTCATGCTTAACTTAGCATGAGGTAAAATCGTTCTTCTTCATGGTTATTAATGAATTTCATTGGAAGGGTTCATGCATATTGATGATAAATACAACGAAGTGCTACTCGTATGCAAATTCCACAAGAATATGGGATGGTATGTATGAAAAGCTGTGAAGGTATATGCGATTAGTTTCTCTATATGAAGGATTGTTTAGGAGCTAAATTTTTCTGGCATTTTTTTCCGTATAGTTTACCTTCTAAAATTTTAACTGGCTTTTTTGCCATAGACTATAAGTAAACAATGCTGGTTTGTGCTAATTCTTGACGTGCTAAGATGTGGTCCTAGCATTGATTTTTTTGGCAATATAAGTGTCCTACTGCATAGCTATGTTGATAGATCGATAATTTTAATATGCAGAGCCGCTTTCATGTGCGGAAGGGAGCCTAACTTTGAGCTTTCGGAGGAGGAAAAACAAAAGCTTCGGAAGTTCAAGTGGGAAGAGTTTTTGGCATATACTCGCCATTCAATTACCAATAAAAGTAAAATCCTATTGCGTATTAATGATTGTCTACCCTTATTATCTCAGCTGTTGTAACATAAACATTCAATGGGTTTATTTTGAATGATGATTATAGAGTACAAGCGAAGGCTCGGAGTCGGACCACAGAAAAGCTCTGAACCTGCAATAGAGGATGGTCAGTGACTGGGAACATTAAATGGGTCAATAGCTTCTCAGCTTCGAAAGTATTCGAATATAAGTAATCATGCATACAAGCACTTTTCGACATGGGTAGATTTGACTAAATCTTCCTTCAGATTTTTTCATCAATTCTGCATAATCATCTGCAAAGGCTAAATAACAGACAGCAGCAACATAGTTTAAATTCAAGCAGTAATATCTAAGACAACATAGGGTTACACATAAGATCACTTCTAATTCTTATTTTACAGTCTTAAAACCCTTAAACGATCAAACAAGCGAAAAAGCAAAACAAAATGGGAACATTCTTTACTTTCTGCTGTGTTAGCTAACAATTATCTTGAGAGCGTCTAGCTCTTTCTTACAGCTGAAATGTGATGTTTCAACCAACTTGAGCATCTGCAGTTTCTACATGACTGTCATGCAGAAGACGTGGTTTTTTTCTAGGTTTCTTGATTGAGTCAGATGGTTTCATCACACCTAAACACGGCCAGCTAAAGGCTTCATTTTCAGCAGGCAAGCACTCCTGTCTGTTTTTCTCTTGGAGGTAGGGTTCATTGATATCAAAAATTGAATCCAAGAATTCAACATCTTCTATGTTGGTGATATATTGGTCTTGAATCCAATTAGAGTTGTTAGTTGGCTCTGGTTCTTTGAATAGCCCGTCAAATGATCCTCCATCATAGTATGAAAAGTCCTGAGAACATACAAAAACAGCCTACTTCTTTGTAGCTTTATAATCGTCTGCATTATCAAATGACTAATAAAAATAGATTTTTACCATCGGAATTAAATTGTTATCGGCAAGAGGCAGCCCGAAGCTTGAAGGCACTTCGAATAGTTCAGCTGCACTTCTTTCCATGGTGATGGTTTCATCATCACCATCAGTAAGAACTGAATTGCAGGACTTATTATCCTTTTCAATGGTGTTATACAGTTTTTGAACCCCATTCTTGTCTTCAGGTCCACTGCATTCCTTTGACATCTTTTTAAGGTGTAAAGTTTCCTGAGCCAGAGAAATGAGCATTCTTTTTAGATAGTCAATCATCTAAGATAAACGATTATGAAATTTAGCATTGGGCATCTTACTTTTGGAATCACATCCTTATCAACAGGATTTACCAAACTAGATGATAAGTCAGAGACTGCATCCTCACTAACCATATTATGTTGATTACTTTTTTCTCCGGCACAGCTATCATGAACACCATAACCTTCATTGTCCTGACCTGATTGACCAGCATTAGTGCTCGATAAATCAACTCTTCTCTTCAGTTTGCAAAGGTTGAAAGTTTTCTACAACACATTAAAGCAAATAAATGAACCCTAAAGCTAAAAGAAAAATGTTTGTAGCAGTGAAGCTTATGAATAAACTTCAATCAAATGAAACGAAGACTTACTTGATCAGTGTCAGATGAGTTAAGGTCAGCCTTGAGTTCATACTCATGCATAACCCAACAAGTCTTGATTTTGTTTCCATCATTACATTGACCTTTATAGTAAACCAAGGTCTTCTTGGTGCCAATTAACTTCCGTGTTTTAGGGTCTATAACTTTACGAGCATTGCCCGTAGGTTTCCAATAACCGTCACGGGTTGTACGGTTAATACGTTTACTATTTCGATATTTGTATTTTGGTGAGTATATAAAATACCATAATCGATCCCCGGTCTGCAATTTCGAACTCTCTGATAAAACAAGCACATACCCATATTTCACCAAATTGGGTACATGAAAAAAGTCACAACATGATCAACAAAGCTTTAGTTTTTTTTTGTATGATCCATTTGGACTAAACTGGAGTTCATAAAAACTATATTTCTCCTTAGATAGTACTAATGTCCAGATTTCAGCAGCAAAGAAAGAAACTGTTACAGCAAACATGCGCAATATATATAAACATATATATAATTTACCAGCTAATTGCCAAGGCTCCCACTGGCAGATGTCGGGGACTTCATCAATAACTTGGACTAGAGAATGACGGTCGGAGGTTTTGATGTGCAGAAACTCGATAAGTTCTTCATCAGTTGGGTGGAATCTGAATCCCTTAACTGTATTCATCGTATCTCATGCGATTTGCTAAAACGAAAGCAGTAATAAGAAGCTGGAGATGAAATGAAAAAAAGAGCGCTTAGAAGTTTGTGCCAAAATGTTAACCTCGTACATAAACATACTCTCACCTTGCTCGCTAAGTTGTAGTACAAATATTCCAAGTGGATCCCACTAAACGTGTCAATCTTTTATTGTTTGCAATATATTTACCAATAGTCTTCATCTTAGTTGCTATTTCCAGGCCAAGTTTGTGATTTATTCGAATGTGATTAGGTATGAATAAAATTTGACAACTTTAATGATCAAATTTATAACTTTTAAAGATTTATTGACCAAAACAACCATTTTAACATAATTCAACGCTCTCTGGTGTACTTTACCCTTGCTAATATTAGAATGTTGCCGGTGAATATTACCCTCTTTCCTGGAAGGAAAGTTTCATTGACATCATAAAATGAGCTGAGAATTCATCCAAAGGAAGGCAAAATAATAAATGAAAATTGATGCCAAATTGCCAATACATCTTAAATGCATACAGCCCAGTTCAGAGCTCAAAGTGAGTGAATCTAAAAGGAGATAAAGAGAGAAGAACATTAGCATCTTCATATGCTACACTCCACAATTTCTGACTTCCCAAACATGGCATGTAAGATGACCATGTAAGGGAATGCTGTTTGTGCAGTTCGTGTTACCGTTGCTCTACGAAAGTAAAGATACAAGAGAGACGAACTCCTGTGTTACCCGACCCTTGGATCTTGTGTTGATGACAAAGTGTTCAGGGTATTTTCTCAACAACATAAGCAGACCATACCATGGTTTCCCCTTGGATTCGGGACCAGGCCAGTCCTCGGATGTAAGATATCTTCGAACTCTGCTATGATGCCAGACATTACTAAATTGCTCAATGTGAGAAAGGAGGCATGGTGGCCAAGAGATGCCCAAAAGGTAAACGACAGTGAATGGAGATGAGAAGCTGTGAAAGAGTTAGCTAGAATTATTAGAGGACATTCTTTTATTCAATGTGAAAATGAATTACAAAATGCTTGGGTCAAAACCCTCTTCTAAGCCAGGTTTTATATAGCCCAAATTACAATCAAATATTAACTACTTATTACTAACAAACTTCTTAGAAAACTAATTTCAATGGTGTATTTACACAGGAAAAGGATGATCTTTCATATCAACAAGTACACCAATTTATAAGAGATACAATGCTCATCAGCTTTCCTCTAACTGCCTAACAACTCCAGCTAACCACTTAACAGACTAACTGCTTAATACATGTGCATATTTCTTTAACAGCAATACACGTGCATGTTCTTTAACAGTCTAACACTCAACCAACTGTAACAAGAAAGGCAAAGTAAGCAATCTTGTAAAATATAAAGGCTGAGATAAACCAAATGAGAGAAAACACAAAGCAGGAAAAAAAATCAAAACTCTTAAGCAAACATTAGACAATGGAGATCCGTTCAACTTTCCGGACTAGGGATGGCAGAATGACCCGAACCCGACGGGGAAACCCGAAACCCGATCAAGTTCGGGTCGGGTATCGGGGAATTTTTAGGGTTCGGATTCGGGGCAAGGTATCCCCGCCCTGATTATATATATATATATATAATATTTTATATTTTTATATTAATTATATATAATATTTTATATATTTTATATTAATTATATATATAATATTTTCGGGTTCGGGTTCGGGTATAATATTTTGGATCGGGTTCGGGGCAAAAAAAATCCCCGACGGGGCGCCCCGATAAAAACCCCGTCGGGGATCGGGTCGGGGTCGGGGATTCATTTCGGGTTCGGGGACGGGTCGAGCAAAACTCGCCCCGAACCCGCCCCGTTGCCATTCCTATTCCGGACATCCAAACATGTCAAGGAGATTACACAACCTCTAAATCATTGAATTTATAGCCACTTCAAACAAAAGGAAATTAGGAGAGGAAAGAATTTGAGCAATTTAAAATCAATAAATTATGACAGATTAAATCTTGTTTTCCCCTCTAAATTGCAGAGGCAAAAAGGAAACACACATGAGGAGAAAAATAAATAAGTAGCACTATTAGTGGTGATTGTTGCCATTATCATTTCTTCACAAAGACTCTCTTCTTTTTTCTTTCCCCGATGCGTATAGATTGTATTCATGGCCTCCCTAACTTTTAAGTGCACTTCTACGCTAAAATTTCCATGCCAAAATTTTTAAAGAACAAAAATAAGGGGAGAATCAAAAGAAAACACAAGGACTACAGTCAACTAGATAGGAGTGTCATCACCAAAAAGCAGTAAAAAGATGCAGGGCCAAAAGAAATGGAACTAAAATAAGATTTAAATCACTCAAAGCTCAAACCTAACCTCAGTGTGGAGTTTCTCCATGGCCATCCATTCTCCAGGACCACAAAGATCCGAAAGCAAAGTAGCTACAGAAGAAACCACATCCTTTTCTTCCAACTGCATAAGTTGTTGATTATCTGATTCACGGTCAACTCTTGATCTTCCCTCCCCTTTCTTCTCTGCTGGAAATGCAGATATTACCATGCCAATGGAATGGTATTTATTATCCAAAGGAGGAACCTTCAGTTCCGAAGTTCAGGTAAAATATAGAGAGAAAAATATCGATGAACTGAATGAGAACAACATAAATGAATGAAAGCTCATGTACAAGGATGAAAAGCTGCTCGTGGGTCAGTGTATGACCAAAAAGAAAGAGAAAGGGCATCAGAAAACAATGGAACCGGTTCATGAAATCTTATAAATCATTTTTTGGTGCGATAAAAGTCAAATGCAACTTTTGAAATGATAGAGACTGCAATGCATAGCTGATTTATCATGACTAATACACCTAAAATCTCATAGACTACATGGTAACCGAAAAACATACTTTGGCAACTAAAATCTTGCTTATTTTCAGGTTGAGAGGCAGGATGTCTTAATAGTATGATTCCGTTTCAAAGATATAATCTGATTAACACCAATAATAAGCTAAATAACAAATAGTAGAGTCATAGAAAAAGAAACAACAGCCAATAATATTATGAGAAAGGCCAAAGAGTAATGAGCATGTGAGTGGCAACAAAACATAACAAGTGCCAGAAAACCAAATTCAGCCCACCATGACTGACCAATTACGGCAATTTGTAACATCTATAGAGTATTAAACCAGTGTCAATCAGTACTTCCAAACATTCTTCTCTCTCTTCTATGGAGGCACTGTTAGTAATTTCATTAAAAGCTTGAAGATGACTGCATTTGATGTTCTGCAGACTCTGCAATTCCTAAGGAGTATCTTTACTGACTACCAAAGAAGTAAAAATAACTCAAAGCCAGGACAGCCCAATGAATTAGTGTGATTCTCCAAAACCAGATCATGATTCAGTAGGTGCTGCAGGTAAGCACTGCTGATAATTTAAGGAATAATGCAACGGGATGCTCATAGAAAAAAATGATCTCACAGATTAAACCAGGATATCAACAAGAATGAAGATTAGAAACAAAAAGACCACCTGGAAAAAAGGATTAGTGTTCAATCTAGAAGCGTATTTTGAGCGCTGCAAAGAAAAACCAAGAATAATAACATTGGAGAGAATGAACCAAGGAGCTAAATAGTTAAGGCAAGTAATAGCAGAACTCTATGTTGGAACATAAGTATCCTAAAACAAGAAGCAAATTTGGTTCTGTATCATCAATAACTAAATATTCAGAAAACAATAAAATTTAAAAAGCAATGGTTGAAGAATGACAAGTTTTCTTCCTAGAGTTCCACAATGACAACTACCAGGAAATAATAAAAGACAAAATGTGATCAAACAATCGCATAAATGATAAACTTTAAGAGAAAAAAAATAGCGAACTATACTGACCTAATACTCCGGTCAACCCCACTTTCCCTCCGGATCCGGCCTCCGTCCTACTATACCAATCTTCCCTCCTAACCTTCTTCCCACCACTCCCAACATCTTCTTCCTCCCCGTAATCCTCTTCATAATACTCTCTTCCTCTGCCCTTCTTAGCTCCCGCCATCGCAGCAGAACCCGCCACGGAACCCACCGTCCTTCCCATTTCCGCACCGCCATGATGAGCATAATGCGGTACACCTCCAGCTGCTGACCCTGCACCCGCCGTCTGGTAAATCGAAACATGGTGCCTAGGCGCAAGGGCTCCACCGAGAATACTCCTCACGGGGAGAAGAAAGTAAAACTGTTTGTCCCCGATTTGGAGGAGGTCCTGTGAATCGAGCTTGACGGGAGGGTTACCAGGAAGGTGGAGGACACCTTCGACGAGGCAGCCGTTTTTGCCGAGGACTTCGAGCGCGAAACGGCGTCGGGTGAAGTCGTAAAAGATGCGGGCGTGGTGGCGGGAAATGTTCATACCGCCTCCGAGGCTCGCTAAGTCGACGTCGACGGTGGATTTCTTGGAGTTGCGGCCGAGCATTATGGAGTAGGTTTGCATGTAGTATTCGAAGTCTTCCCCTTGTAGCTTGGCGAATCCCGCCTCCACGTCGCTCCCACCCGTCGTCCTCATCGCTCGATTGCTGATTCGATTGATTGGTGGAATGGCTTGTTCAAATAATGAGAAGGGTATCGGAGTTTGCAGGAAGGTTTGTCCCCTCCGGTCCAGTTTACCTCCTAAGATTTATCATATTTCATAATTAACGATCGTGTTTTTTCAATAATTCATGATTAACCATTGTGGGGTTAAAGAAAAATCCCAACTTTTGTTTCTTTAAACTAAAGCCCAAAGCCTAAAATATCCAACTTTGGTGTCTTTCTCTTTGGCAAAAGCCCAGTTTTGTTTTCTTTATTCTTTTGCTTTCTTCAAACTCAAATTGGAGCCCAAATAACCCAAGTTTCATGTTCGAAACCAGTTGAAAAATACCTCTCCCTGCCTTTTGTCTTGCTTTCCGGTTCCATGTTCTTCTTCTTCGGCTGCCGATCCAATTGACTCTTCCCCTATATCGTCAAAGGTATATTCTTTAATTACTCGATTTACTCATTATTCCATTTGATTGTTTGAGTAAACAGAAATAATAAATTGAAACTTCCAATGAATTTTTTAATGAGAACCATAGGCTTTGGATTCCTTTGTTGCAGAAAGCAAAATTGAACTTTGAAGAAAATTAAATAAAAAAAGGAAATTTTTTAACTAGCTATTGCATCTGATGACAGTTTATATAGTTTCGATCTGTTTGGATTACTTTTCCTTTAATTGTGTGCGTTTATTTTTCTTCGTTTAAATTGGTTTTAGGTGTTTAGCTAAGTAATGTAGATTTGAGAAATGACTGATCCCTATACGTGAGTTCATCAGCTGATGCTGGGGACGTTTTGAGCTAGGGCTTTGAGTTACATGATCATGGAATGATTACTAAATAATATTTCTGCTCCATCTCTTAGAGTAAACTGGATATGAAAACTGGGTTTGCTAACGAGTGCCCCTAAGGAGCTCTTTAATGTTAGTTAATGTACCATTGTATTGAATGTAGCAGTTGATAACTTTTTATCTCCAATGTATTGGAGGAAGATAATACTATTTGTAGCATGTTCATTGTTGTTTCTGTTGTGTTTTTTTCATTTTTTTCCCCAACCGATAATGAAGAGTGGGCAAACTGATTGTTGTTTCTATTTATCTCCAGAACTCCTTTCTTGGTGATTTTGTCTACTTCATTTTGCAGTCTAGCTTCCCATTGCTTATGCATTTCGATTTTTCAGCTGCACAGTTTTTCTTCATCTGTTTAAAGGTTTAAGTGGTTTGAAATAAAATCAGGAGTTCTGAGCTAGTTTTCATTGCCAATCCGATGAAGCATGTTCTAAAGCTTCTCTCTCTGCTGGTGGTCATCTCTGCACTTTGGATCGGCCTCTTGCAGGCATCTATAATACCACAAAGCCATACTTGGTTGGTGAGTTTCTTTTCTTGCTTTAGTGTTCTGTTATATATGTCCACTTATGCATTTCCCTACTTATGCATTTTTCCAGCTTCCCATCTATTTTATTGTGTCACTTGGATGCTATGGTTTATTAATGGTCGGAGTTGGTCTAATGCGATTCCCTACTTGCCCCGAAGAAGCATTGCTGCTGCAGCAGGTATTTTGCTTCTCTCTGTCCCGTTTTATTCGCGTACATCCTCTCCTTTTGTTTTCCCGGTATGTTCTTCTTAACATCTTCTGAGAAGTTTGGATGAGTTTGACGATGGCAACAATTATAATTTATTGGTGTGATTAGTTATCCGTGGTTCTATAATATGTGGTATGTTCATAGGACATTGCAGAAGCCAAGGACTTCCTGAAGCAGAAAGGGGTTGATGTTGGTTCCGACTGATAGTTTTTCCGATAACATCTCTTCTTCGACTCAAGTGAGAACAAATTGCTGCGAGCTTTACCGATGGACATCTGTTTTGGAACAGAGAGAAAAGGTACAAATTGGGAACTAACTACAAAGTCTGCATTACTTTCATAGAAGAATTATTTCCTCTGTGTCTAACGTCTGTTGAGGAGTATATTTGGTAAAACAAATGAGTTACCATTTGTTGAGTAATTTCACATCAATAGAACACATCGAAATCTGAACAAAGCTTCATTGTTCATCATATTTTGGATCGGTTGACCTCTAATTGATATGATCCACTCTTGTCTCAGTCTAGTATGTTGCTCAGATTATTCTTATTCGACACTCGTGTTTGACAACAAGAGGATGTGATCTGGAAGATCTTCCAAAAAGATTTTTTTAAAAGAAAAATATAGCCATATCTACATATACACCCGTATTCGACATGCATGAGGCCGAGTACCTTGACGGTATGCTTTTCCTCTTAAATTTTCTAACTTGTTCCATGCTCCAACAAATGACCCCTTTCTTTGCGCATCACGAGTGCAAAATTTGTCGCTTTGAAGTTTCCCCAACTTCTGAGAAAGGGTAAAGCACATCCTATGTCCATATTTAAATAATTATTTAAAAAGATTATTAATCTTATCAAATTATTAAAAAATAATTATTTTGAATTTTGATAAAACTAGTGATTATTTTATTATATTTTACTCCAAATTCAACGTTTTAATATGTTTTAGCTTTTGAGAACGACAGTGTCACTAGTCGTATCTTGGAATTGAAGAGTCGACACGAATTTCATTTTTTTAAGGGCTTGTATGGCCAATTTCCATGTTACTTGCCATTGTATTTGTTGAATTCTCATATTTTATTAGTACATGAATTTATAAAGTGGGTATTCCCCAAACACAATTTTAAAGATGAGCAAGCAAACGTCAATTTCGTTACCCAAAGTAAAAAAAGAAAACACAAGCCGGTACTAAAAATAATTGTCTGAAAAAGACTGAATGGTCCCCTACCAAGCACTTGTTAATTGCACTAAACACCTTAAATTATAACATCATTTTAAATTATTTTTTTAAATATTTTAATTTCATCCCTACACTATTAATATAGGGTCAATCACATTCTTTCGTGAATAAAACTGTTAAAATTTATTATTTGTCATGTAAATACTTTTATATATTATACAATAATATAAGAAGGTGAATTATAATGAATGTTTGAATAAATTAATAATTAACTTATATAATTTGAAATTAATATTAAATAAAGATTTGAATACAATTTTTTATCATTTCACTTGATCGATTATTTATAATAGTGACCCTGATTAAATTTTGTAATATTAATAATAATGTTTTATTACATTCCAGCTCTCTTGCACCGTCTTTTTTCAGATTTTTTTTTTTTAAAAATTGTTCCTTTTTTAAGGCCAAGAGGCAGATTCCAGCTCAAAAGCACCCCCTCCATATCCTATTTTCCTTTACTCATTTCACGACCATCTCGTCTCCTCCTTCATGTCCTGGCGCTCTATTTCTTCCAACTCCCTTGTTTTTTCTCAGCGAAGCATACTTTCAAACACTTTACATTCCCATTACTTTTCTACTCCGACACCTTCGATAGTTCAATGACACTCTCTCCAGATCCAGTCCTTTGAAAAAAAGAAGCCAAAACCAAAACCCCATTTCTCTCGACTCGTTGAAGCATTACAAATTCAAAAGGAAAGAAAACATGGGTGGTTTAAGAGAGTCATGGTGTTTTTGTAAAGGAGTTAGCAAGTCGGAAAGAATGAAGGGCACCATTTTCTCGAGTAAAGCTCCGACAATGGCCAGAATCATCGGCGCCTCCGGTGATGGAATCTCGGTTACCGGATTTCTCATCCACCGGAATCTTCTCTTAACTACTCACGTTAACCTCCCTTCTGTAGCTGCTGCTGAGAGCTCCGAGATCCGGCTCCAAAACGATGTTGCTGCCACTCTCGTTCCTCACAGGTATTTTTCCTCTTCTTTTTTCCGGTTTGTAATAGGAAAAATGAGGGATTTTAATTCCATTTCATATTATCATGAAAATGCCATTGAATTATGATTAGTTGATTAAAGAAACGTGGGTCCAAGATTGATAGTTGGAGAATTATTTTCCACACTTCGTAGAATTCTCAGCTTTGAGATTTGATTGAGGTAATTATTTTGGCCTGACCTTTTCTGTAAAGTTCACATTATTAAAATATCATTCCTTAGTGATCTTTGTTATAGTTTCAACTTGTTTTTTCTTCCTTTTTTGTTGACATTTCACCGCCATAAATTTACTACGAATGCCTGCATAATTGCAATGTGTACCTCATTTTTCACCAAGAAGTTAAATTATTTTTTATATTCAAAGGTTCATAGTACTTCACGTTAACTCAAGTATCATCTTTCTTCAGTGAAGTTCTTTGGATGAATATGAAATGTGGTACATTCTCTAAAACCGGTTATTTACAAGAAAATTCAACTTTGCCTATATGGCATGAGAGGGGTTTAATTTAATTTTCATTGTTTAGTTAGTTTAATACAAGGACACTTATCTATTACATTAGTGCAGCAAAGGAAAATGCAAGACATACAATAACATTAATCGTTGATCATATGGGTTTGAATTGTGTAGCAAATCAACAGGCATTATTAGTAGTTGCTCTCAAGCGAATCCCAAATCTTTACTTTTTCTTTTCTTTTCCATATGTGTCACACATGACAGAACAATATCCTTTGATTTGGTCACAAATGTGTTAGATAACATTTAAAAATGTATTTTGCTAACTAATATGTAAAAATTTATACAGTCTGTGCTTCTTGATTCTTCAGTAATATACTGTTCGTTAGCATTTTCATTGTCTCAGTACATCAGTGATGTACATAATTTATCAATCCTAGCTAAGAAATTTCGAAGTTTAATGTGATCTTCTAGATAGTTACCTTCATTAGTTTTTTGAGTGTTGACCCTTATGTTAGGATTTAAGTGGGAATTCCTCCTCCTACCTCTCAACCTATCCCTTGATGCAACCCTGACATTGTAATGTTTCCTTTGCATATGCTGTTCTTGCCTTTCAACCCCTTGTTGAAGGCAAGTTCTTACCTTTGGAAGTCAAAAAGTAGAGGTGGCTATAGGTGATGTCCTGGTTAGTTCACTCGCACTTGCAGACCCCAGGGGAAATTCTTGATATTCAATTATAAGTTGGAAAAATAGTCTGATCGCTTCTGTTTAATTGACTTGCTCTAGCCAGTTAATGTTATTCTGGTTGATCTCTAGGTTGGCCCATTTTTGTGGCTTAATATTTTCATGATTGATTTTCCTCCTGTGATTACTGATGTAATGCATGGACTAAGAGAAACAGGTGCCGGGTCTCCTGAAATATTTCTTTTATATCATTTTTAAGCAAAACCCCAAATTTAATTCATGGTCTTTATTCTGATTGCAGGTTTTTCATTACCAGCTCCGTTTTAGATCTAACAATTGTGGGCTTAGATGCCCTGGATGGAGAATCAAATACCCAGGGCCACCAGCCTCATTACTTGAAGACGTGTTCTAAACCAAATTTATATCTAGGAAGTGCTGTTTACCTTCTAGGTTGCACCGAGAAACAAGAAGTAACAATAGGTGAAGGGAAGGTGGTGATTGCCACAGACAACCTCATAAAACTGTCAACTGATGGAATAATATGGAACCCTGGCTCAGCCGGATTTGATTCACATGGGAACCTTGCATTTATGATTTGTGATCCTATGAAGCTAGCTTCCTCTCCTAATACCAAGTCATCCATGACTTCTTCATCCTCGTCATCGTGTAAGAAAGATATTCCTACGCAATTTGGTATTCCCATTCCCATCATTTGTGACTGGTTAAACCAGCATTGGGAAGGTAGTCTTGATGAAGTTACCAAACCTAAGCTACCAATTATTAGGTTGATGTCTTCAGGCCAGAAGAGTGAGCATTCTTCTGCATCCTTCACAATGCGCCAGGTTTTTAAATCAACCGGAGATGATAGTGACATAACTCCATCTTCATCAAATATAATCATGAAAGTTAAGGATCAACCAGGACCAAGCAGTTCCGCTGCAGCGAACACTATTGAAGAAGAGACGTGTTCTGATCCACATGTTGTGCATGTACAAGGAATCCCAACACCTGAAATATATGAATCACCAAAGTTGACTGCTGTCCCTCTTAGGAAGAAAGAAACCAGCCAAATCCAGCTTTTGGATATAAATTTTCCTCCCAGGATTGTGAAAACTGCTGTAGTTCTGCGGCCTAACAAACAAGAGCTTCCGAATACATGTGAGAATGCTTTGAAGGAGCTTCCTCCAGAAATCCTATTGAGAGAAGAAGAGCAAATCAAGAATAGACTACATGCAAGTCCCAGAGAGGATGCTGATGTTGGCTCGATGGCTTCCGTAAACGGGGCCCAGAGTGAGGTCCAGTCTAGTTCATCTCCAGTAGAACGTCCAGAGATGTATAATGGGTACAGCAGTGAGGGGGATACCATGTACTCTGCCGAGACTGCCGAGAGTCGAAACTACACAAGTCCAAGAGAAGGGAAGTTTCAGCAAGTGGGAAGGAGCCAGAGTTGTGTGGGTTACACAAGATGGGGAGCTGTTCAAAGAAACCCAGCAGCTCGCAGGGCACTGCTGGAGAAGCAGAGGAGCTTTATACATGGAAAGAAGACTTACTCACAAGGGGCAACTTCTCAAAGAAGTAACGACTACTACAGCCCTACGGTTTCCTCAATCATGAAGAAACGGAACAACTCGGAGCAGCCACCAGTCAAACAACGCCAAAGCACAGGTCATTCATCCCCGAGATGGCTGTTTTAATGATACTGAAATGATGCCAAAAAGCCAACAACAAATATATATACCAAAATGTATTTCATTATTTGCATTTAGTGCAAACTAATTTGTCGTGACACTGTGTAGACTGATTCAATATGATAAAGAAAAAGATTCAGCCACCATACCATGTTGTAGTTCTTATGATTGATCCAGTTAGCCACATTGCTAATACAATTGCATTTTCAGGCACAATTTCGGGTAAGTAGCTTTTACAACATCTTTTTATGCGTGGATTAAGGGGTGAACTATCACAGCAGTCATTGCCTCGTAAATCAATGAGAATTGGGATGGGTTATGCTTTACAGGTTTTATTGTAGATGCCCATTAAGTGTCAATTTGGGGGATTGATGTCTAGATTAGTGAATTTGCCCTAAATAAATGAATGTTCACATTTCCCTTATATCCATCTCTCCAAAACTGCCCTACTAACAATCATGCAAGGCTGATGGTAGTCAGTTGCTGCAACTGAAATAAGCTCATCTCATGTAAGAGTAAAATTTACTAAATGTGACGGCCCTACCCGGAAGGCTCAATCGAGCAAAAGTGGGTCCTTCGTAAATCCAGACATAATAACAACTTACCAGTAGGCTATAACCATTTTGAATCACAAACTATATTACTTATCATGCAAGTCAAGGAGAGGCACTGGTAACTTACGGTTCAAGGTAGCTTTTCAAACTTGGGAAAAAAATTCGAACATAGGATTGGGTATCCTTACCAGACATGCTACTGAGTTAGGAAATTAAAAAAAAAAATAAGTCATGGTATCAATACCCAAAATAAAGGTATCGGTACTCTCAAGTGAATGGTAACCTGTCAATTTAAAGTAGTACCAGTACCAACCATTTGAGTATCGATTCGGGTTTACGGGAATTTAAAATAAAAACCTGCTAGGATAACTAATCAAAAAAATTATCAGCACAAACAGAGTTTAAAGCTACATGTCAAATGCTCCAATATTCAGAGAAGGATTTGCTTAACCAGTGCCTATAGGAATTAGTTAAGGCTTATTTAATTACTAATTTTGATATTTTTCTTCCTTTTGCAGCTAAAAGGCACTAGTTAACATTTCCCTTCAAAAATCTGTTCCATTGACATCCCAACTCCATTCAAGGACGGTTCAAATTATCCCTGAAATAAAACAAAAATCATAATCAGAATATAATTTAAAAGAAGAAACAATAGCATTACCAAAGTTGTAATATATGAAAAGATGAAGGGAAATCATCAAGCTCCATACCACTACAGTAAATAAAATGCTCTATATAAAGTGCCCATTTATTAAAATACAGCATCGAATCCCAAGCACACGAAAAAGAATATAAGCATGTCTTTGACAATGAAGTATTATTTGGACAAACATAATTGATAATTCACTTTAATAACCTATGATCTTATTATCTTTCACTAATGGAAATTTAACCCTAAAATAAAGATATAGAATAGTAAACTTACGTCACTAGTTGGGCATAGAGCTCATCTTTAACTGGCTGATGGAAGGAAAACCCTAATTAGTTCCTTCATGGTGACCTTTTTCCTGCAAGTTGGGCATCTTCCCTGCACAGCTAGTGCAGCTTTAATGCATGCCTTGCAGAATATGTGCCCACACCTTGTCGACATCTCCTCAGTAAATAAACCCATGCAAATTGGACAATTGAAAGTTGGTTCCCTTGGCAGTGGTTGCGGCTTTATAATTTCCTTGACCTGCCAATAGAAAAGTTAACGAGACTCAAAACATTCATAAATCTAATCAAAGTCGACGATGCACCAGTCATTAGAACACATGGATGGACAATAGTAACAAGGGGTGTCCAATCACAATGTCTTAATCTGATGACCAGCCATATTCGTACATTCTTTCCTCAAAAATATTAGATTATATATTTTGAATGATGAAACGAAGCAATAGCTTACAATAGACTGTGGCGTGTTTTCCAAATTAATGTAATGATCACAATTGATAACCGTCTGGCTCGGAGGAAGTCTTCTACGTTTGTTCCGATTATTAGTAGTTGACCTAGCCGGCTGCCCTATAAGGAGAGAGATGTGAGATACATCAACTTCAGACATAGGGTAATAAATTTGTGTATATACTACTATATCCCCTCAATAAACTATATACTATTATATCCCCTCAATAAACTATATACTACTATATCCCCTCAATAAACTATTACAGACTATAGAGATATCAAATACATTAGTACATTACATGAGTTTACTGCTCATTGGTCACTAATTCTTAACAAAAAGCACCCATTCCAAAGAATCTGCAATTTATTTCAGTTTTTAGTGCAATTCACAAAAGTACATAATTTTGATCCATCAGCTTATTCTAATCAATTCAAAGCAGACTATATGACCTAGACTTTCGCTTGGATCATGTTGTGTTGGTTAACTGTAGCGTGATTATTTTGTTTCAAATTTCCCCCTTTCAGAAATTCATCTGCAGAAAAGACATACAGGTTCCTTCTCGAATCTTGTTAATTATTTGATGTTTACGAAACAAGAAAAAATTAACTGATGATTGAATAGTACGGAGCACCTGAATAATGAAATTAAGAAGGAATATTTAACCTCATCTAGATAAATAAAATGAATTTACAAGGTGGAATGGTGCATCAAAACAAGCTTTTGTCATAACATCCTTGTACTGCAACATGATGGAAATATTTCCCTCATAAATTAAACTACCTGAATCCACATCAACAACAGTCCTTCTGCTCCTCCTCGAATTATTTTTAGCCTGACATAAAATCCCAAGACAATCAGTAACACCCATGATTGAAATGAATCCATAGGAAAACATATATCCCATATAGTTAAAAGGGAAGAAAACAAAAAAATATTGAACAGAAGAAGCAAACCTCTGCAAATGCTGTAGCAGAAGATTCAATTATATCATCTTCAATAGCTTCAACATCAATGGTATCAAATGGCTCAGGTTCTATGGGATGGCAGGTCACTTCCTCGAGGCGAGCCTGTTGCGAAGTACCCTCCTGTTCTCTAATATCATAGGGTGGAGAATTTAGATCCAGCACCATCTTCCTTCGACGGTACCCTCTGAGAGGAGTGCCCCTCATTTCAATAGTGTTCATGTCCATTTATAATTTTCTATGCACTTCCTCAATACCACAGCCTCGATAAACCCTAAAAGGCAGCTAAAAAAACAACTTTCTCAGATTAGTTCACCATATATATAATATACAGCTTTCATTAAACACATACCAGTCAAATATGGATAATAACACCTCCAAGGTGAATAAGAGATATTTTAGCAAATATATATATATATATATCACAAAGTTTGCTACACACGAACGAGTTGCAACTATTGGTTTCATCTTTCCAGTTGGATTTTATTTATTAAAAAATAAATTATGAAAAACTAAAGGATAAATGAACAAAACACTTGACACGAAACCATTATTCTAGAAAGGGAATAAATTTAATCAAAATTCAAACTCGAACGACAGGCCCAAAAGAAAAGATATCGAATAACAATTTAAAATTTAAGAAAATTTATCAAATAGGCCAATGTATCCTTTAGAAAAATTCCCAAAATCGAAGGAATATGAATCAACTGTAACACCGATCCTTGAATGAAAGCGAATTGAAATAAGAAAATAAATTGATAAGAGAATCAAAGAGAGTTGAGAGATCAAAATCTCGCCTTGAAATCCAGGGTGAAATCCACTAGCCTTCAAAATTTTCCAGACAAAACAAAAAAATCGAAGAAAACAAGCGAAGCCCAGAAACCTTCTGAAGACTTCCCTGTTGAGGGTTTTTAACAAAGTAAATTTGAGAGCGACCGCAACGCACAATAACGTTGTAATGGGATTTGAGTTATATCATGTTTGAACTTAAATTATTGGGTAAATTCAATGTATTGTCACTAAATTATAAGAATATTATATTTTGATCATTAAATTAAATTTTGCCAATCAAATTATTTAATTATTTAAATGATACAGATTAAATAATTAAAACTTTTATAAAAATAATTTAGGAAGAGTATCAATCAAATTATACATTTAATCTTTAATACTTATACATTCTATCAATTTAATTATAATTTTAATGTACAAACAATGTAACATTGAATCAATTAATTTCCACCACTTTTTTAAAAATAGATTAAATTTTTAAATATGATATTTATGTTAATTATATCAATATATAGCATGTGCATCAATTCGAGTTTTTTTGAACCATTCCTACCTTAAAGAGAAGAAGGGAAACATCAATTCTAAGTTTATATACTTAAGATTAAAATTCATTTATCATTATAAATTTTACAAAATATAATATGTAATAATATATGTGATCTGGTGAGAAAATAATTAAAAATAATATTAAACCAAAAAATACATGAAATTTCAAGATTTATATAAAGTAAATATAATGGTATTATGCTTCATAAAAAAATTAGTTAGAATCTTTAAGATAATGATATTCTTTTTAATCAATGAAATCGTAGGACGAACACCTATACTTAAAAAGGTTAAGCTTTCATTTTGAATAAGTAAAATAACCTCAGTGACAAAAAATGCCTTATAATATACGATTTTAACCAACTTTTTTTGGATTTGCCAAAATGACCAACTAAATCGCAATGCGATCGATAATTCGCAACGCGATATCCGGTATCGCAAATCAGTTTTCATATTCGCAACGCGAATTTGGAAAATCGCAATGCGATTACGTAAATCGCAATGCGAATACGTAAATCGCAACGCGAATCTGACTATCGCAACGAGATTCTGACTATTGCAACGAGATTCTGACTATCGCAATACTGAATTTCAAATTCGCAACTCGATTTCTGAATTCGCAACAGGTTTTAGTTTCGCAACACAAATGTTTTGGGTATATAACTACGCAGCAGCAGCAACTCATAACCTAAATCCCTAAATCGCAACTCTTCCATCTCCATCTATCACTCTCCGGTGACATCCGTTCCTATATCCAACGACATCCTTCCCCATCTGGCAACAAGTTTTAGTTTCGCAGCTCGTTTGTTTAGTAAATTAATTTACAATAATGAAATCATCTAATGTTGATCATGTTTGGATAGATTTGTGTTTTGGAGGGTCTTGAGAGAATGTTCATGGTGTTTTACAATATATGCATTTACCCATGAATCTTCAACTAAAACTGTCATTAAAAAAGTTAACTTATGAAACTCTAATGTTACGTGTTGTAAATAAATTGA